TTCAACCATGAATTAATCACAGAGGCTCGTTTTGCATGGGCATTGTTTGTGCGTAATGGATGGCTTTAAATTTTGACGTTATTATTTCCCGTCATTTCTGGAAACAAATTGAACATTTATTGCATATATATTAAAAATTATACAGTGGCATGAGAGGGGCTGATGTCTCTTTTATTGAGGCGCACGGAGAGGTGAGGTCTCCCCGGATCAATTTGCCTGTCTTGTTACTCCCGCTTGAGGATGTTGGGAAAATGCCTGCACCGCTAAATTGATTCAGAGACGAATTCATAACTTGGAGGGTTTAAGTCATTTTGAGGCAGCCTGATATATTCCTTTCTTTTGTTTTATTTTTGATTGCCTTAAGATTCAAACAAGCACTTTGCTCCGCGGGCAAAGCACTACCGTCTGTCTACTCTGCTCATATCTCAGGCTTTACGCAGAGACGCATTTGGGTTTTGGGTGGCTTCACAAACATAGCCATTAAGCAGTCACAATGCTTTTATTGTGCACTTGATCTGAAAATAGAGACTGGTCTGACGGCAGAATCCAGACGAACCTATGGAAAAAGGCGCGTTATTGTCTGCGCGCGCGGAGATGAATGGCCCATGTCAAACAGATGATTAGTTTGCACTATTAAATTGTCAAAAAGGAAGGATTTCTGTCCCTAATAGTGTTTTTTTGGGGGCAGAAGAAATATGGAATTCAAGAGTTGTTGGCGACTGCTGAGAAACTGTGAGGGCCCAGGGCGAAGGTCACGGAGAGTTCTCAGCGCAGAGCGGGGTCCGGTCTCCAGACACAAGCCTCAGCCTATTCCGACCGAACACAAGCGCTTCTCTATATCCGCCAATTATATCCACGCTGCGATATGTCATATTTGAGTGGCAGGTGCTCCAGCTAAATAAAAGCAATTTGTAAAATAGGATGTGGTACGTGTTGAGTATGGGTGTTTGGGTATGGCTCCCATGAGACGTTTTGAATAGTTTGGTGGCCAAGTGATGCGTAAAGGCTTGCTATAGGTTTTATTCAACAACATGTGGGAAAATATTTAGGCTATAATGATGTTATTTAAAGGTAGTATCATTATTGGCGAGTTACGCTGTTAAAAAATAAGCGGAAAAGGGAAAAAAGGCCGTGAAGATATCACTGAGAGAGCCACGTCTATAAGAACCAGCATTTCTGGACAGCATCCAAATATTGACTAAATTAAATGTGTGAACTATCCAAAAATTTGTATTTTCATGAGTGTTCCTTATATTTCAGACCTACAGCTATGTTTATGTTTATGTTTATGTTTATGTTTATGTTACGTGCCATTGCATTGCCTTCTTTATTGTCACCTCACTGTAAATCCAGGTTAATTGTGGGTGTAAGATGTGAAAATACCTTTTATTTTATAAGTAAAAATGTGAAGGCAAAAGGGTCTGCAACGAATTGTTTGTTTTTGTTTTTCAATCATTGTAGCATAAACACAAATACAGGTATCTACTGTTTACATCCACAACCTTTACTAATAGTCTAACAATAAAAATACCACGTAAAAGCACAGAAATTACCCATACTCATGTCTGATTGCTTCTGCCCCTAATAGTCTGAACACATGTAAACTGGGTATCCATTACTTTAGAGCTTTTTCTCATCTAAGTCTATAAGCAAAGGTCACTATACGACTGGATACACATACGAAAATACCGCTGCTGCCACACTGTATTCTGCGCAGGTATACAGGGCCGGAGGTCTCAACATTGCTGTAGACCATGACACAAAGTGCATTAAGTTGGCTGATCCCTCTCTCTCCAACCATTTGATTAATTCTCTCCCATTCAAAGCCCGGTGAGGAGCAAAGAGTGGAGGGACGTGACCAATGACATAATAGCCTGTGTCACCGTGGCCCGCACAACGCCCAGACCATTTGTGGTGACAATCCTGAAGCCATCACTGCCATTATAAGCTTCCCTATTCAAGGCACAAACAAACATGGCCCCGCTCCACCAAAAGACAAGTCAGCTTTTTGCTCTGTGCCTTTTGGATCATGAAGGGATCACCTACAGGAACCACTCACCTTTAACAAAAATAATAAATAAATAAATAAATAAATAAATAAATACGATAGGCAATACCTGTTTCCTTGTTACTCGCTTATTGCTTTGTTTAAAAAAAAAAAATAAAAAAAAAAAGAAAAGAAAGGGAAAAAAGCGTTTTAATTTTATCATTAGTTGAAATATTTTTATCCCATTCATTTTCGTTAATTTTTTAATTTTTTTTTATTTTAATATGTATTTATTTTATTTTCTCGGGTAGGCCTACTAAATCAAATAACCAAAAATTATGTGAAGCTCAGGGAGAATAGTCATTGTTAAGGCAATGGCTAATGGAGATCCAAATAAACAAACAAATATGGACAGACAAAATGGATAGAATATGTTTAAAATATACCTATATAAAATTAAGTAGGCAAATTATCCGTATAGACATTTTCTATTTCAATCAGTGAAACTAACCTAAATGATCGTCGTTTTGCGCATATGAGGATGCGTAAAAATAATGCAAACCTGTTGGGCTAAAATATACAATCTTGTTTTAATGCATGTAAATTTGAAGAGGAAACGCCTTGTTTTACTTAGAGCTATTGTGACATTCAAAGACGTGAGAAATAAATGGCCGTTGAATCCACTGTAAACCAAAGAGAAGGGGCTGATATTGTGGTGGAGATCACACAGTGAACGCCTCCGAACATCCATCTACAAAGACATGAAAGGCGCGGGCCTGTAGAAAACCGGCTCCTTTGTCTCCGGGAGGATTCTCAGGGAAATCCAGCGTGTCCTTCCGTTCGTCCCCAAAGCCCGCTCCTCTCTTCTGCCGTCTTCCGCGCTTGTCGTGATTCTCCACACCCGTTTGTTTGGGCCCAAAAGCGCTCTGAACCGAGATAGAGCCATTACCAGCGCATTCCTTAAAGTGGTCTCTTGCATTTACAAGTTCACTTTGGTGTGTCACTCACTTGCCTTTCTTTCAGTTCTTTTTTACTTCTGAGACTTTTGGTGCAATGGCTGTGTTAAAAAGCGAAGTAAATGAGCGCACGGTGGTTTTGTTCAGACAGATGTGTGTGAACGGATCCATAGAGAAGAACCATTTATTTTAGACCTGTTGGTAACTGCCGGACGGCTGTGCGTAAAAGCGCACTAGTGCTGATATGGAAAGCACGTCACATAGAAAATACTTACACCTTGTAACTATCAACACATAAATAATAATGATGGAAATGTATACTGATCCAGTAGAATATTTCAGTTGTTCGTACATGCATGCTAAAAAGTAGCCGACACATAATGGGAATTGGTGTTAGTTGACCAATCAGCACGTGCTAAACCTACAAGCTAATAATAATAATAATAATAATAATAATAATAATAATAATAATAATAATAATAATAATAATAGAGTTTCTTAGTTCGTTTTGGCATTGTACGTAAAAATTACCGGGTTTGTCCATTATTCCTGGATTAAATATGTGCCTACTTTAGCGACATTAATGAGATGTGCAAAGTCTCTTTGTTGCATTTGAAAAACGAGTTCTATGAATCTGCAAAGTGATGCGACACAGAAATTTTGATCGTCTCCAGGCTGACTGCTACTAACATCACATGCTTATTTGTTCCATGCGCAGTATTGCGCATTGTTTTTTCTTGATTGGGCTGTTGTTCATCGAACAGATATGCGCTTACAAAGCCAATTTAAACTCTCACTTTGGACTCTCTAGTGACTAACTGTCCGAGTGGAGCTGACGCCTAAAAATCATCAAGCCCCACTCTCCCATATCGAGATGCACTCCTCTCGGTCAACAACAGTCCCGTATGATAATACTGGCTACACATAAACCACAGAGAATACTTCTAATGAGCAGGCAATATATCGTTAGAAAATGCATGCAGGACGCAGCAGCCAACTTACTCTGTGCCGGACGGAATCCACGCTTTATTTTCGAGTCTAATCTCCGGATGCACTTCGTGTCAAAAAGCAGCGACTATTTCTCAGAGATTCCCTTTAACAAGTGAAAACTTAGTGTCCTCCTGCACCATTTTATACATGATGAGCCGTCAGTAATGGGATTATTAAACAAAAACGTTTCAGGCGCTGGCGTTAACCTTTTTTAATGCCTAATTAGGTTTTGCAAAGAAATAATTAGATTCTACAGTGCTTACACTGCCTATATTTTCAAATGGCATCTGCGGCAAACACATCACTCTTGCCAATATTGTGCGGATATGTGCATCACACTGGCACAAGATGTAACATTTTAAAACATGTTTGGACCAAATAAGGTGCACTTTAAGATAAAAGAATTATCTCACGCGGCCAAAGATCTGGTAGATTGGTCTCGTGCGCCCTCTGGTGGCCAATTTTTAAATCACATAAAAGGTGAACACAAACCAAAGACAAAGCTTGCACGTTAAAGGTAATACAAGATTCAGGCACAGCAATAAGGTACAGCAGTAGTAACCTAGTCCCAAGACCAAAAGATTCCATCATCTGGCATGCTATAGGCCTAAAACGAAAACAAAAAGTGTATTCTACATTACATGAACTTAGACTTTACTTAGACTAAACTTTATTGATCCACAAGGGAAATTATATGGACAGAGCAGCTCACTCATCACAATACAATATTATAACATAGACTTTAAAATATAAATGGTAATAATAAATTCTAAATAAACAGCAAAAGATAGCAACAGGCAGGTGTCAAATTAGGCATAATTATATAAATGTATATGTACAAGTCCAAATAAAAGAGAAAAATAAGTCATAAAATATATCGCTCGATTTCTTGTTTCAAGTCATTCATCATTATAAGGAAAACAGTATAACAAAAACACTAGGAATGATTTCTATACTTGACTACTAGATGTAGATCTATTAAAATAAATAATTAAAATAAATAATATGAGGTAGAGGTGTTTTTTGCCGATCAGAGGCGCTGTTCCCAAATCTCGCGAGACTCTGCACTTCTCGCTCGGGACAAGGTCAGCTGATCATTTACGCATCCGTGTGTGAGCTGCCGCCTGTCACTTTCTGTCTTCTATCTGCCTCGTACGGAAATCACGCTTATCACCGCGGTATGTTACACGCATTCCTACTTTATTTACATTCTATTTTATGATAACACTCTATTTATAAGGTTACCCGTGTAGTCCACGCTCTCACAGGCAGGAAATTTCTCTCACCCGGCAATTGCTGCGCTAGCCTGGCACGCTAAAGGCTAACTATGGCAACACAAGAATATTCTAGAGCCACCTTCTGCCTTGTTGCCCGCTCATATGATTGTTTTATCGCAGATTTTGGGTGTTATTTAATAGTTTGGTTGTCAAAAGTCGTTTGGATGAATTTTATAGTATTTGTTAGTATGTTATATTCACCCCTATTCATCCCTATTCATTTTGTATTCTCCAAAGCTTCATGGCTACGCTGCGAGCTCGTGTCTCCTCTCTCTACTCTAGCTTTTTATGTTAGGGTTTTAGTCAAAATTTCTGACTATATTTCTAATTCTTAATTTCTCTATAACTGCAGGTATAAACGGAGTTATGTCATTTTGCCTATCTTGATTAACAATCATGTTTGGTTTTTTTAGCAGGTTCCCCCACATCACAAAAATGGCAGACACCAACCAACAAGCTCCCCCTCCGCCGACACAGGGACCTGTGGTGAGTTGTTTACTAAAAGGACTCTCTTATTTTTCCTTTGTTTTGGTAATCTTGACAGTGAGCACCTAGTATATCTGCAGTGTATTGTTATAAAATCTTACAGAACAGAGAAGGTATTTCCACGTTTTGTTGAAACTAATTGATGAGTGACTGTGTGTTTCATATTCAGCAACAGGAGGGAATCTTAAATTGTCAAAGATTGGGTGGGCAATATTGACCAAAATGTGTCTTTTTTTGTCTTTATGTTCTGATAGTATTGACATCATAATAATCAAATCCTACAGAAGTGTTACTGAGTCTTCCAGTGTATTTGAACAGGATTTAGTATCAAACGTATGTGAAATGACTGATGTTTCTAAACTTTTTTGGTTAATTTTAATTTGTTTAGAAATGTTCAACTCATTTCCTTTTTTAATTTTAATCTGCTCTTTTAGCAACATTTAAAAGAAAATAAACGATATAATTGATGTTCAAGTCCTGCATGTCTTGTAAACAACATTCACAGTATTATCAATATTGTGATACTCTGCCCACCTCTAGTCGAGGCAGTCATTTAGTGTTTTCATAGTGACAAAAGACAAAACTGTCAGTGAACATGTATACACGGAGCATGCTGACTGTGGGCTGTTTGTCATCTGACTTTTGATCAGTTCCCAAATGTATCACAAGATTACATTAAGTTGTTTTCCTCTTGGGCTAATGCCGGCAGCTGAAGACTGTTACTCAAGCATATGATTTCACTTTTGATGCAGATCTTTTTAGATCTGTTGAATAAACCGGAACATTTCCATTCTGAGTCGGAACAGTTCCATTTCCTAGTGAAGTAATATGTAGTATGTAAGTTCTCTGAATATAACTTTTTAAATTTAATTCTCTAACTATACTTGTGTTTCCCATAGCAATTTCTATTAAGTAACAAGTTGGAAACTGCAATGTGGTTGTCCAGACTCTTCACAGTCTATTGTTCAGTAATGTTTATACTTCCTATTTTGGGGTAAGTAATCATATAATTGCTCAGATAAATTATTCTCAGGGATCATAATGAAAACCCATGCATTGTTTCTCTTTCCTTTTGTGTTTCAGCCCCTATGCAGCTGCAAACTTCTACCAGAGAGCCTTGCTAGCAAACGCCCTCACCAGTGCCCTGCGCTTGCACCAAAGGCTTCCACGTTTCCAGTTGAGTCGGGCGTTCCTGGCACAGGCTCTCCAGGAGGACAGCTGCCATTATCTGCTCTATTCACTTATTTTGGTCAACTCGTACCCCATCACTAGTATCCTTTTCCATTGGATAGCAGACTGTGGTCTATGCATCGTATGTGTTCATAGAAGAAATTTCTCTTTTGCTGTATGTCCTTAACTGTATGATCAGTGAGCATATTTCCAGTCTTTCTTTTTTCTTTACTTCATGCAACTACCTACACAAAGAAAGTTCTGGATGTAAGTAACTGACTCACATCTCATTATAACACTGTTATTCCTGCTAGTAACATGGTATCAAGATGAAGGCAAAAACTTGACAGTGAATCAAATTTCATTTGGTATGATGACAAGGCATCTGGGCATCTAGTGGTCACATGATTGTAGTAATGTTATGTTACTTTTGTTACAGTCCATGGGACCCACCAGTCTCATGTTTGTCAGGAATCTTCTTGATAAACTGACAGCAAACCAACAAAACATCTTGAAGTTCATCGCCTGCAATGAGATCTTTCTCATGCCTGCTACTGTTTTCATGCTTTTTAGGTAAGCTGTGTTTGTAATGTGTAATGATGCCTGTTTTATTTTAATTCATACATATAAATTGTCTTTTGCAGTGGCCAAGGAAGTTTATTGCTGCCTTTCATTTACTACCGATTCCTCACTCTCCGCTACACATCCAGAAGAAACCCTTATTGCCGGTATGCTATAAAATTGCCGTTGGTGTCAGTGGCTACACAAACATTTGATTATTTTTCTGATTTCTGACCTTTTAAATTATTTAAATGACATGCAAATCTCAAAATCCGACGTGAGTAATCTGAGGGACCATGACCAGAAAGAAATCTGATGCTTTTGCTGTTTACATGTCATTTTATTAGTCAAACTAATAATGAGATTTGTAACTGCAGCCAGTGATTCAGTGTAGTTTATATAGTTCAGTTTTGCTTTGAACACTCTTGATTTGCTTCTCATTTTCATTCACCCATCTAAGCCAAAAAAATAGTATAGTTTCTTCATTCATTATAGAAAGAAAAGTGACATGTTTATTTTTGTGTTTGTTTGTGTGTCCCAGCACCTTGTTTACAGAGTTGCGGATTCTCTTGGAGCACTTTGCCATGAAGCCTGCCTGCCCTGTCATCTTCAGACGCATGTGCCTCAGCAGTATCGCCTTCATCAGCCGTTTAGCACCGACAGGGGTCTAAGCTCCTCCCATCAAGTCTATAGCTCAAACAAGACTCTGCTACTATGGAAGCCAACAGTACTCCAAAGAGAAGGAACTGTTTCTGAATGTCAACTTTGTACTTCAGCTGTTCAGAATAGTCCAGGTCAAGACCAACCAGTTATGCACTGATTTCCAATGTTTTGCCCATTGTTCTTTTTGTGACCTGGTCCAAGCAGTGAACATCCTTCTGTCTGTTCACTTGAGATGAAGAGTTTTGTATGCTCACAGATGTTTTTCCATGTTATTATTTATTCAGGTCTTATCATTTAGAAGATAACCTACTTATAATGATAACTTAAGCATTTATTTTTTGTAATCACAAGATGCTTGAAATGATGCAGTGTGGAATTTATGTGCAGTTCTGTCTAGTCTGTGTTTTATTTCTGATTGCCTACCCTGATTTTGTTTTCTATCAATGCCATTAATGTCTTATGTAAAATTTGTTAAATTTAGAAAAGGTCTGCTGTGTTTTATAGAATATTTTAGCATAACATATTTTGCTGTAAAATACATTCTCAGACTTTACCGCACAATGCATGTCACCATGCAGTAGTTATTAACACACTGCTTCTTAGTGCATTCAGGACGTGTGCCCAGATAAAAATGTCCCTTTCTGCTGTTGTAGTTTCCTGGCATATTGCATGCTGAAATTTTGCCATGTTAATTATTTGCCTATTGTCAATCCTAGTTTTATGATAACTTTAATCTCAATTGAACTAATAAAATATTAAAACAATATTAATTGTAGGATTTGGGTTTAATATTTGGTTGACTTGTGTGCTTGTAATACCAGAGATAACATTGAACTACAGTTAATTGGAAACAATTACTTACTTTCATTTTCAACCAACTCACCATACATACATCAACAGAACTAATCAGTCATTAATACTAATATTACATGTTTATGATAATAAATCTGTCTTCTACGCGTTTGCTCACGAAACCAACCAATCATTACACAGCTTTCTTCTCTCGTCCTCCAAATCTTTCCACCAATGAGATTCCAGATTGTTGCTGAGACCACGTTGCTATTGACAACGTCTCTTCGGTTTCTCACGAGTTGACTTCAGTGCGTCTTTGAAAAATGATCTTTGACGAGAGTTGTCCATTTCTATATGAGAATTTTATTGCTATGTAGCGCATGATAACACATAAATGCACAAGTCTGTGCGCGCAATCAAGTTTATCGAGAAATCGTTTTAACCAGTTAGCCAGCTAGCTAAGGTTAGCTCGTGTAGCTAAGCTTCTTGCTGCAGATAATCCCACTCTCTCTTTGACATCACCATTTTGTGATTCACATACAATTTAACACAGGACAAATCGACGTAACGCTTTGAACACTGCAGTTTTCTTCAAGCGAGCACAATGGAGCTCCATCTTAACCGCGTTGATTACACACAGGTATCAATACGTTTTGTAATCTTTATTTCTCCAGGATATTTGATGTCCTTACTTCTTGATAATTTCGCATTCGTTCTATTTTTTCATTTTATAGGTTGGGGTGACATCCCAGAAAACCATGAGGCTGCTCCCACCTCTGGGCAAAAAAGCCACTCAGAAGGTAATTCAGCCAGACCCATAGCAACTACAAACTCTATCTTCCATTAGATTTACATTGCATGGACTTTTTTCAGGTTGCTATTGCTGACCATGATGGGGTACTCACATGTTTTGGGATGAAGAAGGGAGAGGCAGTGGTGGGTCTTGACTTTAACTCATAAAATGAAATAAAGCACTATTACTTTTTTGTATAATTAATTAACACCAATGCCATCTTGTTTTTCACCCCAGCCTGTCTTCAAAACCCTCCCAGGACCAAAGATCTCTAGAATGGATCTTGGAGGAGCAGCTGGGACGCCACAAGAGAAAATCTTTGTGTGTTCTGGGTCTCAAGTCCGAGGGTTCACCAAGAAAGGCAAACAGTTTTTGACCTTCGAAGCCAACCTCACAGAAAACATAAACGCCATGTAAGTTCTCATTTATTAATTTATATTATTTTAGTTTAGTTAGAGGTTTTGCCTTAGAGAATTATGTTCACAATTTTACACACAATCAATACAGAAAACCATACTCAATTGATATAAAAGGGTAAACAAACTATCGGTTGTCAAACTACCAAAAATCATATTCTAAGTGATACTCAAACAAGTATAGATTTGAGCAGGACAGAAATGAACCTTTCCTGAATAGTTTTAAATGAATGATCGTGAGCTGTATCAGAACAACTATAAGATTGCACAAGCTAGTATACACCCATGGGCCACTATGAAACCTACCTGGACGAGTGAGGGATTACACAGATATTTAATGCTGAACATCACATTCTGTTGTCTAAAGAAAGAAAATCCTTTGTATCAGAATCCAGATATCAAAGATCTTGAATCATATTTTGTTGTTACATTCATTTCTGTAAATAACCTTTTATGAATTAATTATTTTGATTTCTTAATAAAATGTTTTTCAGGCACATTTCTGGAGCTGATCTCTTTTTGTGTGCAAGTTACATCTACAACCATTACCTCGACTGCAAGGATCAAGACTACTTCCTATCAGGAGACAAATAAATGATGTTATATACTTGTCATCTGAAAACCTGACCCGCCCTTTCCCCATTCTGGCATGCCAAGATAGAGTTCTTAGAGTCTTACAGGTCAGAAAGTTATATAGCTTTACCAGTGTGTTTAATATAAAGCTTGGCAATCCAATATAATGTGATTTTATAACTTTTCTCTTAGGGCTCTGAGCTTGCATATGGCATTGAAGTTCCTGGCCCTCCTTCTGTTTTGGAGTTGTACAACAAAGATGGAGGTATGTATTCTGTGTACATCTCTGTCTAAAACCTAACAATTATCATAGTTCATACAATGTATGTTAAAGGTACACTGCATAACTTTTATAGGAAAGGATTTTCCATCTTCATGTCTCCATGCAATTGTTATTGCTTTGCACTGAATATTCCACAATATGACCTTAAACTTATCTCTCTTCATGGAAACAAACAAATGACATCACCAGGCCAAGTCACAGATCAGATCTGTGGAGAGGCATGCCTGCTCACAATAAGGTTTTTTTTTCAAGCTGCTATTAGCAATAAGAACATTTAATTGAATAAGTTCCACAAGATAGATACGTTTAATACCATACCATGGAACAATCCAGCCAAAGAAATAACATCTCCATGGGGACAAGCAGATGCTGGACACACCACCACCAAAGTTACTTTTTGCACCTTTTAAAGTTGGCAATGATGAATATCTAATTTATACTTTTTTTTTTTTTTTGTAGGTGATGAAATACTTTATGGAACCACTGATGGTAAAATTGGATTAGTCCAGATTGGTGAGCAGTCTGCCTCAATCAAATGGGAGATAGACTACGACAAAAAGAAAGGAGGTATCTGCCTAATATAGTACCATATGTAACAATTTAAGAATTATTCAATACCACTACCAATCATTAAAATTTTTTTTTTTTAAGGAATTCTCTGTCTGGACACCTACGACATCGTTGGGGATGGAGTGAGCGACGTGTTGGTGGGCAGAGATGATGGAACAGTGGAGGTGTATGGTTTTGATAGTGCTGGTGACCCCTCATTACGCTTTGAGCATGTAAGTTTGACAATATACAATAGGGACAGGCAATATGACATAGAATTTATATCACAATTAAGCCAGATCACAATTTAGATCTTTGTTATGATTCATGTAGAACTTGTATCTTTAAAATGCATTTAATTGTGTCTAAAGTCATCTGCTTCTTCTTAGAGTTCATACTTAACTGTAATTGGTTAGATCTATCTGTCAATCACTCATAGTCATATAGCGGCTGACCAGTAGGAGGAGAGTACTGCTATATCACTTAGTTCTACTACACAGTGCATTTATGTAATTGGTTGGAACTCATGATTTAAACCGTTTCACATTTTAGGTGCTATCTGAGAGTGTGACTTCAATTCAAGGTGGCTGTGTTGGAAAAGAGTCCTACAATGAAGTTTTAACTGCTACTTATACAGGTTTGACTCTTAAAATTGTTATAAACACAGCTCTTCTATGTTGTAAAGCATTTATAGGTGTAAAATTGTAAATGTCTGTGTCCAGGATGGGTGACAGGTTTGACCACTGAGCCCCAAAGAGCTGAAGTTGGTCCTGGTGATGAAGTGAAGATGAGCAAAGAGATGCAGTCTAAAGTGGAAGCACTGAGGTAAGCACTGCAGGGAAAGGAACACATTTGTCTGGCAATTTCAAGACTCATTTAAGAAAATAAAGCAGCTGCTTTTAATTTGAACTGAGTTGAATTATGTCTGCTTATGTCACATGTGCTGTTCATGTCCAATCAGGAAGAAAAATTCTAAACACCCAAATTGTCAAAGTAGGCAAAAACTAGGAAATACTTGCAACAAAATTATGTTCACCATGTTTTAGTTAAATATTGCCTGTCATATGCACTTAAATTGTTTGTCATATTCACATATAAATCAGTAAGCTGTGCAATTTTTTTTACAAATAAAATACAATAGTGTATTTCTACATAGTATTTAGTGGCACTTCCTAGCTTTGTTAATTATAGAACCTGGTAAGAGTAGAAGTAGAGTTTTCATATTTCAGACAATGTTACACAGCTAGATCCAAAACTGACCCTTTAAAATCAATCAAAATGTAAGACACCATCACATTTTAAAATGAGAAAGAGAGAGAAATACACTTTATTGATCCTGTGTGAAGTTCAAGTTTTGCTGCAGCAAACTGTTGCTACATTTCCACTGAGCGTCTCAGTTGCCTTTGTGTGTCAGTCAAAGGTCTCATTGCAGTTTAACAGGAGGACTGGTCAGGAAGGGTCTGCAGATCTGTGTCAGGGCAAGAGGCAAATGCGTCCTTCCTCTGTGTCCTGCAACATTACAGCAGTGTTCAGGGGGAAGGCCTCACTCTTCCTCCACCCTGGTGTTTCAGTTGGTGATGAAATGGTTCAATATTTCCTCTGAAGCTCTTCTGTCACATTTGCTGTTACATATGGTGTAAAAAGCCTATCGCATCTCAAATGCCCATGCTTTTTACTTTTCTCCTTTGCTAGCCTCTTGCTCGGTACATGGATCCTCCAGAGATACAGCAAAAACAAACAGCTAATTTCACAAAATCCAACGGTCCCTTATTAGTGTCCTTTAAACTGCTCATGCTACATTTCTTAGCTGGTTAAAATCCCATGATGTGCTGGTAAAAGCTGAGCTCAATAAACAAAAAGTTTTTAAAAATCATTCTGCTCATTCTGGGGGCAAGGGAGCCACAAAAACAACTAATCACTCCATTGTTAGGGTTTAATTCTTATTCTATTTTCATTTACTATCTCTACTTTTTTATTTATACTTGTCTTTTATAATTGACTTGACTCCTAATCCTGACTCCTCATAACTCCCTCTTCTGGCAGAGCTGAGTTAGAGCAGTTACAGGTGAAAGTGCTGCAGGGCCGTGAGCAGTACCATCAGACGTCTCAGTCCAGCACAGCCGTGTCTGCTGTGCCCGTCTTCAGCATCAACGACAAGTTCACCCTGTGCCAGGACGACGCCAGCTACAGCCTCACTCTAGAGGTGCAAACAGCCATCGACAACCTACTGCTCCAGGTAAGCAAGGGTAAAGCTAAAGCATTTATTATTGTGTATTGTGTATGGGTGAGGTGAGACAGAATTCCCACAAGATGAGACACAGGATTGGAGCAATGACATAAGACTGACTCACACTTTTTTATATGCTGTCCTGATGAAATAGCTTTGAAACTACAGCTTCTCAAGAGGTGTAAATATAAGCACATTAAATATAAAATATTAATTAGTTCATAATTAATAATAATTATAGCTAAAATATGTTTCCACTTGTATGCACAATTTTGTGGCAAATTTATCTTGTGAGATCTTGTATCACAAGATTCTTCCATAGCAATTCTACTGTAAGTTTAGCAAGTGGCCAAACTGTGGAATATTCCAAGCAAAACAACATCTCTAGGGAATTTAGCAGAGCTTAGCTTACCATTTACTTAGATTTACATTTCCTAGAATTACCAATACGCTACTGTTACTGTTAGAGAAAAAGTTTGCAAATTCGGCATCAGTTCAGAATTCAGTATTTGTGTGAATTAAAAGTTGGCAGTGGCACACAGTGCAGCTCTCGTAGCAACACTTTTACACTTTCACTCATTATAAGTTGGCATAATACTGTCTCAAACAACAACTCTTGGTATAATGGGCAGCTGTCTTTTTCTTCCTTTTCTAATAAACATCTACTGCAAGACTGAGTGACTGAAATGTGAATCATAACACGCGCTCAGTTGGTGCTTAAATTTTTTGTAGTATAATGTAATCGTGCCATTGCCAAGATAATAAACATTTCTCTTTCTATAGAGTGATGTGCCTATTGACCTGCTGGATGTGGATAAGAATTCTGCTGTGGTCAGTTTCAGTGAATGTGACTTGGATGTGAGTTACTACTACACACATTTCATAATATATACATGTTTTTCAAATGCATGACTTGTGCATTCTATTAACAGCACGATGGGAACTTTCTCCTGGCTACTTACAGATGTCAAGCCAATACCACTAGACTTGAACTAAAGGTAATTTGTGTTTACTGTTTAGAATTAAGTGTGTGTATATATATATATATATATATATTTTTTTTTTTTTTGAGAATCACTGTTTTTAAGTATGATTCACATCACACTTTGCCCTTTGTTTTTTAGTTTTCTTGTTTTGTTTTTTTTTTTTGTTTTTTTTTGCTTGGCACACAGACACTCATTAACTTTCACACTTGCTGAATACTATTTGTTAGTTGTTGTCCAGTTCTCTGTAAAGCCTGTGCTATGTAGTCCTGTGACAATACGCTTTAATTCAGACATCTTTTACCTTTCCAATAGGTGAGGTCAATTGAAGGGCAGTACGGCACTCTGCAGGCCTACATTACCCCGAGACTGCAGCCCAAGACATGCCAAGTCCGCCAGTATCAAATCAAACCGCTGTCCCTTCACCAGAGGATCCACGCGCTCGACCAGGACAGGTTACTACCACACACTAAATAATAACTACTGTCTTGCATGAAATATAATCATGTCTGATCATAGCATTTTCAGTGCAATTCAAATGTATGTGTGTTTTTTTTTTCTATTTATTTTGTTGACAGGCCCATGAACCGTCTGAGTCTGGTGGGACAGTTCAGTTTTGCAGAGATCCACTCTTGGGTTGTGTTTTGTTTGCCAGAGGTTCCAGAGAAAACCCCAGCGGGAGACACCATCACCTTTTACTTTCACAACACTTTTCTGGGAACTCAACTCGAGGCAACCTACTGGTAAATTCAGAATCTGCCAAAATGCTAGGAGCTTTTAAAAATTTGAATCATTTGTCTGTATGGTTTAGAAATATGCTGTTGGTTTGGGCTAGGGACTAGATGTCAGCTTTACTTAAGGAATGCAAAGGTTGTCCGAAGAAAACTATACAAACATTTTTTACAGTCCACTCACATACTTGAAAACAATAATTATAAATATAACCTGATTGTAATCCACATAATTTTCACGTTTTTTTTTTTCAAAGTTTTTGTCAGAATCTTTCACCCCTAGTTAGAATTACTTTCTACAAATCCTGAAATAAGGTTTAATTTGAAATGTTTGGATATAGTGTGTGATGCATTCACTATTTTTAACCTAAATTTTCTCTTTTAATTTTAGCAAAGGAGAGGGACACTTCAAGTCAGACAACATCTCTACTATTTCCATACTCAGCGATGTACTTTCTAAAGAAGCAACTAAAAGAAAAATTAATCTAAATATATCATATGGTAAGCTGACATCAACAGCCTTGCACTGACATGTCTTATCTTAATGCACAGTTATTATTCAAAATTTAAGGATTATGAATATAAGTTTTGTACTTTTTTTTCTTTTTAGAGATAAACGATGAATCAGTTAGTCACACTTTACGGATGATCCACCCAAAGTTAGAATACCAGTTACTGCTGGCAAGGAAAGTCCAGCTTATTGATGCACTTAAAGTAAGATTTTGATTTAGTTTACCAGCTTTGTACATATATCTGTGTCTACCATTTGTTTTTCCATCTGTGGTTGGTAGGAGCTCCAGGTTCATGAGGGAAATGCTGACTTTCTCATCCCAGAGTACCGCAGCATTTTGGATGAGTCTTCTAATCTCTTGGAGGAGTATAAAAAACAGCCAACACACCTTGAGAGGCTTTATGGTAGGGCAGCAGATAGTGCATTTTATATTTCAATTGGCTGCTGGTTGTGCAAAATGAAAATAAGAATTTGTTTCCTAGGTATGATCACGGACCTTTTTATCGACAAATTCAAATTCAAAGGACAGAATGTGAAAACCAAGGTCTCCTCATTGTTGGAGATACTTGGTAATTATGATTTGAATTCTCTCTTGGACTTTTTTAATGAAGTTTAAGATAAAAGGAAAATAGTTTTAAAGAGTATACCTCTGTTTAATGTAAAGTTTTGTAATTATTTAATTGTTGTTATCTAATGTCATCTAATGTTTGTATATAATATTTATTTGATTAGCAAAGCTGACTGACCTTTCAGAGCCAAATAAGAATGATTGTAGTTCCTTGTTTTGTAAGTAACTAAGGTTGTATATGCTTTTTGTATATTTATACAAAAGTATACTGGAAATAAATTATCATTTAACATTTCCTATTAATTATTAATAACAGAACGAATGTAGTATATAGTGCACTAAATACAATATTACAGAAATAAAAATGCATGAGAAAGTTTTCTATTTCTTTTTCGTTGTTGATATACGAAAAACCCATAAAACTTTTATTTTAATTCACTGGCATAAACATGAGTTTGTATAAAGGGAGTTACACTTACAATTGTTTATTGCTGTATTTGGCTTATTATTATTATGATTATGAATCCGTGTTGGTTGTCATAAATGTGTAAGTTGAAAACAAACCGGTTTAAAATTTGCAATCAGATAAATATTGTCCGCGCGGGGCCACCGTCCCTGTGACGCGTCACTGCCAGAGCGCGTTATGATTGGTTGTTTCAAGCCTCGCGGGCTACTTGAACTGAAAGAAAGCGTCTCCTCTACATGTTCCTGCGGAGGGACTGATGCTGGTTGTCTTGGCTGCAGGTTTGGAAATAACTCTTTATTTTCGGAGTATGGAGACGTTCGACTGATTGGCCATTAAATGCTGAATCGTGTGCCTTTTTTCTCTTTTTGACTTAGTTTTGATTGGGCGATTCTTAATGCTTTCACGACACGGCAGCACATTTGTCCCACGTTCAGTCTCAAGCTTTTTGAACTAAAACAGCCTTTTGAACTCCTAGAGCACACTACAATTTTAATCTTAGCAGGAATCGGCTAAATTCCTGCAACAATGTCTGGAGCTAACCGAGGACAGGGAAGCGCGGCTGCTGAGTTTCACAACCAAGAAAACATGCTCTCACGACTGAGGGGCAAAGCTGCTCCTGCAGAGGACCAGGAGAACATCCCACCCAAACCCGCCAACAGAACTGTCCTGGGATCCCTCCAGAACAACCAGAGGACAAAGGCTAACAACCAGCGCGGCATAAAACAGGTTTGTTTGGGCTACTATGTGCTGCTCCCCAGCTCCCCCATTCGGAGATGCTACGTGCTAAACGTGCTTTCATTGTACTTTTTGGAGGCAAACTCTTAATCTATACCTTAAGCCAAACGACAAGCTTTAGTCAAGAACATCTCTTTTTAAATATTAAATGCAAAATCATGATTTTAATTTCCTCTGAATTATTCTGACGTAAGAATTACTCTAGTCCGCCATTTTTTGAGCGAAGCACTCCACTATCTATTATAATTTAAATTGTTGACCATAGACTGTTCCTCTACACATTACATGTATAGAGGGAATTTTTAATTGAACCTTAAGCTTATTTACAGATATCCCCCTCTCCATTTCTAGGAGCACCTGTCTTGTAAAAATGATGACTTCAGCAAGAGCTGCTTTGAGAAACCCTCAAAAAAGCCTGCTTTTCAGATCCATGTGGATGAACCTGATAGTGCCTGCAGTAAGAAGCCACTGCCAGCAGCTGAGGATTCCCCTCTAGTACTCAATAATGCAGTGGCACAACTCCGGCAACCACTGGCCACCATTGACTTTCCATCTGCAATGGACGTCAGCCTGCTTGGTAAACTCCTTGTTAAAATTTGCATGTAAATGATTTGCAGCATGCCTCCTGGTAACCTCTTGTATTGTCTTTGATCAGATTCTCCCATGGACATGTCTGTAATTGAGGGTGAAGAAAAGACTCTGAATGTAAATGAAGTCCCGGAGTATGCTGCTGAAATCCACACTTATCTGAGGGAAATGGAGGTGAGTGTGAAACAAATTTGTAGCCTCACTTTACCTGATATTAAATGGTTCTTTTGTGTAGGTAAAAACCCGACCAAAAGCTGGCTACATGAAGAAGCAGCCAGACATCACCAACAGCATGAGGTCTATTTTGGTAGACTGGCTTGTCGAGGTTGGAGAGGAGTACAAACTTCAGAATGAAACACTATACCTTGCTGTAAATTACATTGACCGCTTCCTGTCGTCAATGTCTGTACTGAGGGGAAAGCTTCAGCTTGTTGGAACTGCTGCCATGTTGCTGGCTTCGTAAGTGTCTAATGTGTCATTTCACTACACATAATGGCATGTATAAACTTTTTTTTTTTTTTTTTACTTATTTTTAGTAAATTTGAGGAAATCTACCCTCCAGAGGTGGCAGAGTTTGTCTACATTACAGATGACACCTACACCAGAAAGCAGGTGTTGAGAATGGAACATCTGGTGCTGAAGGTGCTTTCGTTTGACCTGGCTGCCCCCACTGTTAACCAGTTCCTCACCCAGTATATTCTCAACCAGTCGGTCAGCAAACAAGTGGAGAGTTTGGCAATGGTGAGTTAATTATTTATCTAATGTTTGACCAAATTATCTAAAAAAAAAAATAAATAAATAAATTTAAATTTTATTCCCCCCCACACAGTACCTCAGTGAACTCAGTCTAATAGATTTAGAACCATGTCTGAAGTATCTACCATCACAAACTGCTGCTGCGGCTTACATTCTGGCTAACCACACACTGACTAAAGGCTCCTGGGTATGTCTAATTTGATTAAATCACTGTCTAGGAATTAAAATGGTAATTTATTTTTTTTTTTTTATTAGCCAAAGTCATTAACAGAAATGAGTGGCTACAGTCTAGAAGATCTGATGCCATGTGTCGAGGATCTGCACAGAATCTACCTCAATGCTTCCCAGCACGCACAGCAGTCCATACGGGAAAAGTACAAGAGTCAGAAGTAAGCATTAAATGATATCAATAAGTCACTAAAATGATAAAGTACTAATGTATCTTCATGTCCAGGTACCATGAAGTCTCTCTCATCGATGCTCCAGCAGAGTTGCTCCTGAAGTGATTCAACCCCCACCCCCTTGTAGATTTCCCATTTCAATTTTTTTTTTTAATGACTGCCACATTTTCAAAGGACATGACCTGCTCTTTTTGGAGTCCGGCATAATGTTTGAGAGTTCTTAAATGTTTTTATATATTGATACAAAATCCTGAGTCTTATGTGTCAATCACACTGTTTTACTGGTATCGGACAACTGGATATCTGCCAGCTTTCTTTGCTGCAGCTTAACAATGGACTTGTGATGTTCTCTCCCTAAATGGTGGAGTTTCAAGCAGTTGTTGCAGATTAAAATATTGGCATTTCATCCATATTGCTACAATGAATGCAATTAAACTTTACCGTCTGTCCAAGTAATCTGTGTCATCCCATTCATGTCTTCCCTAGACACTACTGCACTGTAAAAATGGCTCTTGTAAATAAATTTCATTTAATAAGACTGGACTGTATTGTCTACATCGGGCTATAGGGGGCAGCAGAGGATAGGAAACTACGCAGATAGGCTGAAGTCAATTTTTTTTTGGAATCTTATGGGATAAGTGTTATTATAAAATGTGAGTTTATTTTTAAATCCTAATGATGTAAATTAGGCACTCTGGGAAGGTGTTAAATGAGTAGTTGTCAGATTTTTTTTTTTTTTTCACCTTGAATGTAAGAAACCAATGAAGTTAGAGGCATCTCCTGCTCCTCCTCTTATAAACCAGGAGGCAGGCTTTGTGTAGAGAGGGGGTGCACAACAGCTGCAGACCTCTGCAACATGGACCACTTCCTCACCAGACTCGCACCTTCAACAGGTTTTCCAGCTCATTCTCAACTAACCTGCGGATATTACTATGGAAACAAATGGGAATTCATCTGCTCTGTCAATTACTGGGATACTTGTTCAAACCATGGCTCTTGTTCTTACGACACAGCATCTGTCAAATCTGTGAACAGTGCTGAGATGTGGAATTGCGTTTGAACTGGGGAATATAGGGACAGTGGCTTTCTGCCTTATGACCCATGCCTGCCCCCAGGAAATTTCTTGTGGCGTCCACCACTCTGCCCTTGGCTCTGGGCTGGGGCTGGAACATTAGCCTGTATTTGGGCATGCTCTTTGGTCTATTGACCCTGATGATTTTGCTTCTGTGGATGCTCATGAAACAGCTAAGGAACTCCGTGTCAAAGAGTATACTGCAGCCAGTGCGCTCTTTCAGACAGCCCTGCTTGGAGCACAGATTTCAGCATGTGTTGTGAAAAATGGGACGATTTGACCCAAGCACTGCCAGGACTTGCATAGAGTCATGTAAGATACTTGTTTTTGTATGGACATCTGTTTATATCCCATTGCAACATAATAAAATATGTTTGTTCTTATTTACATTACAGATATGTGGTCTTTTTATAATTTATTTTAAAGGTAATCCATTGCAGTAATGAGAAAACTGTTAATAGTGCTATAAAGCTTTATTTCTTTGCGCAAATGTGAAGAAAAACATGTTTAATTGCCCTGTAAGAGCAAAAGCCAGGATCAAAATCTGCATCTTGATTCATGCTGATTAAAGCAGTGCATTCATTGTGGCAATTTGCACCTGTCTCTCATCTCATTGCTGAATTGGCTGAAGCAACAGTGAGCATATGCCACCAATCATAAAAGGACTTATGTACCACTTGGTTTTCCATTTCAAGTGTTGGTATCAAAGGGCAAACAAACAAGACCGACATCACTAATCTGCTGCCTGGTATTGTTTATTAAGGCTGAAGAATTAATTTCCTGTTTATTTCAATCCATTATTATAATTGACTTTTTTTTTCACAGACATTGAGCTTAGAAGTGGCATGCTATACCTTTGACTGAATGATGTTAGAAGAATCAATATCCTCTTGGCCCTCTGGGAAGAATGTTAATTAGAGCTCGGCAGCGTCTCATACAGCCTCACAATAACAGAATCTGCTATGCCAGGGACAGGCACCTCTCATGATGCCCCAGTATTGTTAATATTACTCAATGGTTGTAAACACAGCCATGTGCCCAGTGGGGACAGAGCCAATAGCCATAACGAAAGCAAATTACCATACAGGATTGTTTGTCTTCAGCAGTTCTAGGTGGCTATTTTGCATATCAGATTGGTATCAGGTCTTAAAATATATATAAATAAATGAAAGTAAACTTAACTTAAAAGTAAACATCATTCATATTATTGTTTTTTTTTTTTTTTTCGGTTATTAAAGGGTCTGTACCTTTTTTAAATTTATTTTTGTCAAGATAAATAAAAATGAGACAGCAATAATATATATAGATATTAATTTTACATAGCATTTTCTCTGGTAACTAATCGGGTAAACTAATACACATAGAAGCTGACAGGGTCTCCTTTTTCCACAAATCAGGAACATTGTTACTAGGAATTATGAGAAACAACTTCCTGACGCTATCACAGACACTTGATTCTCTGCCATGATGCATTTTTAATGGTAACTAAAACAAATACTAAGTAGAGTTTGGAGATGATGTCATGAACAACTTCATGACACTCTTCCGAGACAGTTGTTTCTGTGTCATGGTGCAATATCATGGCAGACTGAGTGGGTGGGGCTAAAAGTTCAATCTAAAACATGTTCTTGACCATGGAAGTATAATAAATCTAACTCATAGTTTGAGGTACAGGCCCTATGTTTAGAAATAGATGAGAGCTGTCATCACATCCCCATATCATACTGCCTTTTGTTGTGGAGTTCAAATTGTCTGTAATCCTGCACGCTTCTCTTTGTAAACATATATATATTTAAAGTACTGTAGGCCCACAAGTATACAACACTAAAAAAATCTAATAAAATTATTAATAAATACGCCCATAATGATGACTGAAAAGAGCTGAGTCAGAATAGGATTTCTCTACTGGGAAATAATGGGGGAATCTGCATTGGAAATAGACCTGAAGCCCTAACAATGTCCTGGTGATCCATCCATTACAAGCTGTTGCTGGTGTGGGTACAGTTGTAATAATCACTACTATTTATAGACCAGGCTCCATTAAATCAGGCATAGGCTATTCTGAGCCAGCAAGTTCCTCAAATGCAACTGTTTCCTCTTCTGAGAATAGAATACAAAGCAATAAATCAGAATTATCCATAAAAATCAAATTTGATTTAATTTAATGTTTCATGGAGCAGTATCCAGAAACACCTGAACAAGTCAGCACTCTACAGACAGCCCATGTAATTGATAATAACCAAACTAGGTTATAGACTTTCTAAAATAACATTGTTTTGAAATGTAAAATATAAATAGGCTTAGCATAGGCAAAAAGCATAGGCTATCCTAATATTTATCTCCTCAAGTTAAATGGCAGAAGAAATTAACATTCTGGACTGTATAAATAGGGTGACCAGATGTCCCTATTTACCTGAGACCCAGTTTTGAGTCCTGGGTCTCATGTCCCAGCAGATTTATGCAAAACTAGTGATTTGTCCCAGTTTTATAAAAGACATGTCCCAGATGTCTCTATTTTGACCAATTTGAGCTGAATCAGGTCTAAACCAGAACTAAAACAAGACTAAACCAGGAATACATCAGGTCTAAATAAGGACTAAAATAGGACTTTAGGACTAAGTTTAGACCAATCTGATCTCCACCAACAGTAAAGAGGAGTATAAAATGTAAAAGAAATCAATTTTTGCAAGTCAAAATCAACAGAAATCCCTAAGATTATGACTGACACAAAAATCCATAATGTTACACGCTCTTTTTCCAATTTTACTTATAGCAGCCATCCCAACCAGAGAGTGTCCCAGTTTTGAACTCTGAAAATCTAGTCACCTTATGCAGTGTTGGGAAGGTTAGTTTTAAAATGTATTCCCCTACAGATTACAGATTACAGATTACATACCCCAAAATGTAGTTTGTAACATAATCCATTAAATTACTTAAAGTGAGTAACGTCATCTGAATACTTTGGATTAAGTGTATTGTTATGCTTTTTAAAACTAGTCCTGATAGTCCTGGTTTAGAATATAAAATATACAGAATACAGTTACTCATAATTTGTACTCGTAACGCCGGTACATGTAATTCGTTACTCCCCAACACTGACCTTATATATAAAGAATACAGTCTGTGGTCTGGGGTGATTAGGACTGCTTAACATACAACTTTTGTTAAACACTTGATCTAGTCTTATGCATATTTGTCCCGTTTATGCATCAGTTAACACACATCGTGAAATTTGTTACTTTGCGTGTATTTTGCTAATCTGGCTAATTGGCTAAACATGCTAATTTCTCTTCTAAACTAAAGGGACACGATCGACTGAGCTAACTGGGACTTTGCTAAATGCTAGGGAGACCAGAATTGCAAAATAAAAAACTGGGACGTACCCTTTTTTTGGTGGTTAGTAATAATAAAATTGTGAAAGGAGCGCGTAATTAAAGAAAATTGTTCTACAGAGACCATTCATGACTAACATGTGAGTCAATATAGTTACATTTTCTTTGTGTTTTGGTTGTTTTTGAACAGCTTTTCTGTATTTTATCTAAACAGATGGCAATTTACTATTGGCAGGGATCAGATTGGTCAAAAATAGGGACACCTGGGATGTTTCTTGTATAAAACTGGGACAAATCACTGGTTTTGGTTAAATCTGCCGGGACAGGGGACACAGGGCTCAAAACTGGGGCACGTCTAGTCACCCTACTAAATGCTAATGTTATTTTAGACTTTTTTTTTAGCACAGTTAGTGTCAATAATGATAGTGAAGTTACTAGATTTAGCTTAGTTTTAATGCTAACTAAATGGCTACTAGCTAGATTACAGATTAGACTGGGCTAGACAACAACATGCTAATAAAACCATCCATTATAATTTAATTGTATAGATAGGCTAGGGTGACCAATTTATCAAATGACAATTTATGATCCTCTTTACTGCTGGTGGGTATCAGATTAGTCAAAAATTGTGATAGTCCTGTTTTAGTCCTTTTCTAGCTCTGATTTAGTACTGGTTTAGACCTGGTTTGGATCATATTGGTCAAAAATAGCAATACCTGGGACATTTCTTGTACAAAACTGGGACAAATCACTGTTTTTGGTTAAATTTGCAGGGACAGGGGACACAGGGCTCAAAACTGGGACTGTCCCGGGTAAATAGGGACATTTGGTCACCCTAAGATCGGCTTTTCTGTAGTTACTGTGCCTTGTGATAACAGAAATGCATATAATTACAAACTGATAAACTGATGGCCTGCAGTTACAATATTGCAGGCTATCTGAGGCTACTCTCGGTCAATGTCCCTTATAAATAACATTTATTTGGAGTAATAAAGAAGTACAGAACGGTTTCTCATACATAATTCATCTGAAATGAAACCTTTATTACAACGGACCTATTTTTCTTTCACAGAACCCAAGTTACCAGATTGCATTGTCTGATAAAATGTGATTTTATGGATACCCTCCGGAGGTCCAGCTCATATTCACTGCCCCCCTGACCCATAATGCATGAGATAAGCACTGCTCTAGATTCTGAGGAGCAAGGCAAACAGGTGAGTGGTGTCTGGTGAGTACTATTGTGTAATGATGGGCCTACTGTCTGTCAGTCAGGCCATAGCAAACAGAGCTGTTCACATTTTTATATACTCAATTGTCCCATAGCTCATGAATTAAAAGCACCCAGATTCAGTTTGGAAATTGCCAATGCTGATTGCTCGAACTGGAGTCAGCGGTTTTTCTTCATCCTTGGGGTAACTTTGATAGACATTTTACAGCAAACAACTGACAGCACATATGGAAAAACAGCAGTGCAAACCAGAGTCATGGCCGTGTGCTAAGTTGATGGGAGATATCAACAAGGCAACATCTGAATAATTTATGCTTTAGTGCGTTTATTTGGGAAATATATCTAATTGCGATTTTTCTCACAAGCATTGCAGTTTATATTAGATTTGTGATTTATAAAGGTAAAATTTGGAGAATTGATTGAAATATGGAACTGACAAACCAATAATAGAATCATGTGTAGTTCAAAACAATTTGCTTATTGCATCTCTTCAAACTGCAATTTTGATTTGCAAATAAAAGCAAAAGACATACAATAGCAGTAGATTTAAAATCCAGATAATTGTCTAATTTTGTTGTAATTTATATCATAACTTCTAATGTAGCATAATGTACTGCAATAAAGAAGATAAATGAGACATTCTAACAAAATAAATAACTGCATTTAAAAGTGCAATAATATGTAACTTTTCTGGTATGCTTGTCTCCATAGAGATGTTATAGTTTGCCTGGATTGTTACATAGTCTGGAGGTCAGATCTGTAGAGAGGCAAGCCCACTCACTGTAAGAATACATGAGATATAGTTTTTAAATGATAAAATGTTTGTAATTGAATAAATGCTGGATATAATATTTATTTAATGTCATGCTGTGGAACATTTCAAAGCAATAATATCTCCACTGAGACCCTCATCAGAAAAGTTATAATGCAATAATCATATGCATGACTAACATCTAAATTAAACCTCTGCTTGACATTTTGTTTTGATTATGAAATGCGCGATCCATAAGGTACTTAATGGTCTATCTCCCTGATCAGATCTGCGGATCATTAGGAGCTTGCACTTATTTATATCCATTAAAGGAAATTGGTCCGGTGGCGTCATCCTGGAAGAAATGAAACTGGGAGCGCCTGTAACCGGATAACCTGGGTGCTTGTGCTCACCACTCTCTCATCTCCTCACAAGTGCTCGGCTTAATTAAAGTTTCCGAGGAAGATGCCGGCGATGATGATGATACAAGAGGCCTGCGTAGCGATATGCTCCAGTGATACCCCCTCATGTACAGTAGTAGACCATGGCTACTGGACTTAATGTAAATTTAATCTGCAAAAGTGACAAGTCTTTAATTATTAAGTGATCTGTAGTATCACTAGGGATGTCCGTCTTATAAACATATAGGTTTACACAGGATAACGTCATGAAATGTTGCAAAATCCTTTAGGAGAAACAGTATATACATTCAGTTAGTAACGAAAACATGCAATTTCCCATTTGTCCTTGCATTATTCTTACTTGTGTGTTGTTCAGGTCTACCCAATTGTTTGTTAATGAACGGCCTTTTGGAAAACTGCCAAAAAATATTTTCAACTTTTGTCTCCAGCTGCAGTCTTCCCAGTGATATGAACCCTGGACACAAAATTCTTGTTTTAAAAATGAGTGGTGATAAACTTTGGCCAAGTTTTTAGGGGCTACTACAGCAAAACAAACCATTACATGCTATGACAGGTGTTGACTTTCCAAACTAGTTATTTTGCCCCCCAACTGAGTATCCCAGTACAACAAATGCCCCTGCAAGACTAACTAAAATAATAGTCGAAAAAACAAGTTGAAATTGATTTTTTTAACTGTAATAACTTAAGGTGCTTGTGACAGGTTAGTAGTATGGGCACTCACAATACTAATGTTATATCTGTATGTTATATGTTGTATCTGTGTTATCCCTCAGTCATTCAGGTATGTTTCATAGCTATTACTTAATATTTGGCTTTTGTTTTATTTTTTGGATGAAGTTGTGAAAATGCCACTTAACCTATGTTAAAACTATGATCCATATTAACCACAGGTACTATCCTACGAAACCAAGTAATAATTAGAAAAACATGAAAACCTGTCATATGCACTTTAAAGCCATGTCTATCACAATGATGCAGTCTTAAGTCTTAAGTGTCTACAAACCAGTGCATTTGAGATGGTGAACTAAAAAGAAAAAGATTTGTTGTAAGGAAAAATGAGCAGTGTGTTGCATGGTTTCTGCTCTTTGATATACCCAGTTACTCGCTATTATGAGCAAACTTCCACTACTAAATGAGTGAGACACTGAGAAAAACACTGACACGTCTTTAAAGAAAATGAGTTGACAGTAGTTTTATATAGAAGAAGTTATTTAGAAAGAAAGAAAATGCTGTGTTACAATTGAACATTACACCAATTCTCAGACTTCCCACTGGCACTGATAGCAAAAAGAGACAAATCTTGGTAATAGAGCTGGCGAGGAAAACAATCTCTCATATTGATTGATTCAGATTTATTTACTTTTCAAAATCTATATAAATAGCTTTCAGTATGGATTTCATGAGATTAACCACTGTTTCACAAATCGTGTTTCAGAGGGTCAGTATGTGGGTCTGCCTGATTTAGAGTTAATTTCTTCCACCTTGTTGTTCTCCTTTGGATCATATCTTGCTTTAAACTATAGTGGGAATGATGTAGTCCTCTTTTAGTCCTGGTTGAGCCCTATATTAGCCAAATTTGTGGTATTTGATATAAAAAAAATTGAGAGCCACTGAAATAAACAATATAGACTTTCATTGCCTTTTTTCACAGAAATTATTGAAATTTCCTTCAAAGTCTGACTTCTGTTCCAAGCCACATGCTTTTATTGACAAAGAATTGGCTGTAAACGTCCCTCATTAAAAACACCGAAGCTGATCATTGACTAAATCATTGATGCAATCACATACGTTCCAGTTTAGTAATCTACCTTGACAATTTTTTAATACTATGAATGATTTAAAAACGATGGTTTTACGACTGATGGAAACAATATAGTGGAAAAGCCATTAAGTGTCAGAAGTTGAGAAGCGTTTAAACCCTTGTCTTTTCTGCAGGTGCGACAAAGCGTGGCGGAGCGCGTGAGTCTGTGACTGATGCCGATTGTAAGGTGACACTGTGTTCTCTACGGGGAAGTCCATCTCTCCACCTGTCCCCAGACACACCACAGCCTCCACAAAAGCCAAGAAGAGACATACAAGACTGCAGTTAGACAGAGCATCCCAGGAGAGGAGAGAGCAGTCACACTTCTGTCGGTGAGTAATTAACTGTGTATATATAAAGGGAAGTGGCTACTTTGAACATGTCTGATCATCATATTGTGTTTTTTGTTTTTTTGCAGGCATTGATCTGGAAGAAAATGGTAAGTTATTTTAGAAAATTGTGACTTTAGATTTCTTTCACCTATTGGATTACCTGCTTGGTGTGTTTGATCCGAGATGGGGCAATCCACTTAGCCTAGTTCCAGGTAAAGATCAGGTCAGGGTCCGGTAGTGTGGCTGCCACTAAATTGAGGTCCAAGGATTTGCCCTCCGGTCTCAAGTGACTGGTATGTTCTTCATCAACATTGGAGCATAGATGTTTGACTGTGATGTGTGACAGAAGTATAAATTGTTTTTAACAAACCCAAACATGAAACTTTTGTGTCAAAAATAGACAAAAAAAAGCATGTACCGTATGTTCATTGTGGATGTTTTTATTACACAGAAAGACATAGAGAAACATGCATCCTTACTGTGAGCAGGCTTGAGTGTCCACAAACCTGAGGGCTTCTTGCTTCTTATATCCATGGAAATGTAATTCCTTTAACTTTAATATTCCACACTATAAAAATGTATAAAATAAAAATTATCCATCTCCATAATATGCCCCCTCCAAAAAGACATTTGGTTGTACTGATACTGATGTAGTCACAACTGTCCTGGGGCAGATGGCTGCCAGTCAATGCCAATTTTCAATGTAGTGATACATGCCACTATCCCACAAATATACTTTTTGGATGTTTAAAAAAAATACCTTTTCTTATAACAAGCTGTGCTAATCCGGCCTGTGCCATACCACCTGGTGGAGTCCTCCCAGTGTGGGAGCTTATATCCTGTTTGTTTAATGAAGTGTACAATTAGACTGAAAAGGTCAGTGCTTCTACAAGCCTCAACCACATCTGTGCAGATCGTACATGACTACTTTTAGCCAATAACAAGCTAAAGCACTGTTACATTTGTATACAAGTCTAAACATCTGTCCATATATTTAGATATGCTCTCATCACATCATCCATTCTTTTGTTGTTTTTTTGTCATTGCCTTTGTGCCTGCTGTGAAGGGCTGTGGTGACTCACCCAGGGGACTTTGTCGAAAATGTTTTCACTCATTAGAAAAACATTAGTGCCGCGCGTGTAGTATTCACACTGGCACCAAAAGGAGACAGTGCCACTTCATTTGATATCATTGATTTGATTTGGTCCTCAGACTGTCTGATGAGGAGACGTAGATTTCAGTCTTACTCCGTTTCATGGTAACAGAGGTCTAAATTGAACCCTATTATATTCCGTGTTCGGAAACTGCAGATATGGGAGCCAGTTGTCACCTCATACGGTTACACTTTCATGCCCATGAGGAGTTTAATGAGAAAATACTGCCAGGAGACACTTTTGATACAATAAAAGCAGTAATGGCATTTCCTTAAAAAGCGGGGGATTGTGAGAGCCTAGATAATACTAACACCTTTTCAGGGATCAACCATATTAGGACCTTGCATAATTACACACAGTCCCAAAGCCTGAGTCCAATTAAAGGTGTTAAAATAAGTGTTAGGTGTGCACTCATTGAGCATTCTAACTTTAGGACAAATGCTAATTTTACATTTCACCATTTACTGTGTAGTTTATTGGGTTATTATTGGCTAATATTTCTTTTCAATGAGCTCACTTTGCTGGCTAATTGGGGGAAACTGATGTAACTTTCTTAAGCAGTTTTGTGACAGTCTATCTATGTTACAGAGAAACAGATCCAAAGCCACTTTCTCCTATAAAGCCATACATCTTTTGGTTCTCAGATAAACAATAAACACTACTGTTTTCTTGTATTTTATGTGTTTAAAAGCCTTATTCTTAGATTTTCTGCAAACACACACATGTTAAATTCCCATGATTTGTGAGGATATAACATTGACTTCATTCATTTTCTGCAGACTGATCAAACTAATTACTACTTCACTAGTACTTACCCAAAACCTAATCTTGTAGTTGATCTTATATTGAAGTATTTACCTTGTGGGGAACACAGCAGAAAGTCTCTATAGGCATATTATGTAAACTTGAATCCCCCTGAATATGATGTATGCCCACCTACACCACAGAGGCACACACATATTTATTGATTACTTAAAATATGGCTTATTAAAGAAAGGAAGAAAAAAAGTTATGTAAATCTGTGAAAAAATATTTCACAAATGAAAAAAGATCAGGATTTATTTAATTATTTATTTTATGAAGCTACAATAAATATGTGAAAACATTTAAATTAAAATTTTCTGAAAAATAGCTAACAATCTTTTAAATGTCAGAAATCTTATTAGCACAGGACACAGCATGACACTCAAAATCTTTCTCTATCCCAGTTCATCTAATGACTACTATGAAACTGTAACTTGGCACCTGACAGACACTGTGTTCCCACTATCACACTAGGGGTTATTCTTGAGAGTACACCTTGCCACAGTGCCAGGAAGTTCTGGATTCTGGAGTAAACAGACCCATCTCAATCCAACAGAAAAAAATACAAAACCCAGAAAGTCAGTCCCCCACTAGCCCAGCCTTATTACTTTCACTTGAGCACATTTTACCTGGAGAACAATTCCAGCTGCTTCCTGTCCCACTTGTTTAAATTGCCTGTGACAATGACAGCAGCTGGACTTGATTTACTGTACACTTGGAAGTACCCACACACAGTCGGGGCAGACCCTAATGTCTTGGCTAACATTGCAGCAGCCATTTCAGACAGCTATATTTCATATGCTGAAATTTTTATGAGAGGGGATTAAATGTATATCTGCTTCGGGTTTTTTCGTTTATGGAAATAATGTGGTTAGCAATATATTGGCTGTAAAGACTTGCTGCTGCAAATGAAAGATAATATTTTACGAGTTTGAAGTTCTGCAACACTTTGTCGCAATTGGTATGCTAAAAATAATAATAAGTATTGCTGAAATTGTATAGACACCTTACCTGATTTTTACTGTCTTAAAAACATGAAAAACACAACAATTTCATATATATGGTTTGCAGTTGTCTAAAGTTATTCCCCCCTAATGCATTTTGAGCGTCCTAATTATTCATTATCCCAATAATTCATTTTAATTATAAGCGCTTTTCACAACTTTCAGAAATCAGAGTTTTGCTATAAGGTTCAAGGCTCCGTGCTTGACAGTGTTATATTGTACAATTAAAATTCATTGTAAGTCTAATGGTAATATTACTTTGTCCCTGCAGGCTTACCGAGGCAGCGTGAAACCATACGTCAACTTCAACGCAAAACATGATGCTGAAATCCTGCATAAGGCCATGAAGGGAATCGGTCAGTGCTCCATGATGACCTTTATTCGCTCTACAAAATGAATGTCATACAAATGATTACTGAAGCTGTAGGCAGTTTCTAGAATATATCATACTGTAGGGTTGGGAGCATAGACTGTATAAAGAAGTGGACTGAGGGAGTGTAACATCACCCATAGCGTTTGGCGCCAGTCAAATGAAGCTCACAGAGGCTGGCAGTTACAGGAGCCGAGGTCCATGTTACGAAAAGGAATTTATTTATGGACAAAATAGTTTAATAAAAACACCAGGGTCATGTAGAGTGGGTTAATACGAACATTTTAAGACCAAAATGACGAGGCTCACTACCACAGTTACACAGAGAGAGGTGACAATTTTTCAGTGTTAAGTCAATTGAAGCCAGAGTTGATGAAGCCGGAAGCTTCTCCACGCTTCCTATATCGAAGGCTAGCGGACTAACCACGTTCATTTTTACATACAGTACAAACTATGCTTTGGAGATGTCAAAAGTTGTTGTCAGTCAACTAAGAAAAGTCTAATTTCTTCCTTCAAAGTTTGAACTGTGCTCCAAATCTCATGCATTTACTCACTGAGGATGGCCTGTAGTTTTCCATTAAAAAGACCCACGCATCATTGAATTTGAAATGACTGAATATGACTTGATTATATTATTATTATTATAAATATTGCACAGCCTCTTTATATTACACCAAACCATTATGTGACAAAATACTTTACGTTTGTTTTTCACCTTTTTAATTTAGTATCACTATAACACGTAGGAAAGCTTTTGACATGTTTTGGAAATCACTTGACATTTCCTGGAACCTAATTAAAAACATTTTATTCTCTTCACTAAAATGTCTGAAGAAAACTGTCTAAGAATCCTGAAACCTTAGATACTCATAATGATAGTGTACCTTTAATGTGTACCTTAGTGTTACCTTTAATGTGTTTTTAGATAGAACTAGCAACTGTTTTGAAAAATAAGGTCAGAGGATCACTGCCTTGAGCAAAAACATAACCATCTTTAATCTCATAAGATTTGACACTCTGCATTATTTATGTGTTTGTTTAGGGAGACTTTTTCCACTTTGAGAACAACCCATATAAATACTTAATCTACCATCTACTTTCTCCACGCCAAATGAAAACAGACATAATATTTAGCTAGATAGTTCTAATTAGCTTCTTCTAATTATTGTTAATCCGTCTCGTTTGGCATATCCTTTGGCAATACAATTATAAATCTTGTCATAGATGGACAAAAGGAGGGCTTGTTTAAGATTGTGACTTCACGGTAAAATGATGTAAACTGTACAGTCATAGAGGTCAGCCTGCCATTCAAAACTCTAGCAGACAGCTCATTACCATAATGCTACTCTTGCCTGTATTCTTAGCCTTTGCTCTAGTCTAAATGTAACCCAAAACCTCAAAAACAAATTTTGTTTGGAGGTTTGGCTCACATTTGTTAAGTGCACTGCTTCAGAAGTTGAGTAGATTTGATGTCAGTATTTAACAATGAAAAAGGTAATTTGGCAGTAACTTTGTAATAGTGAAGATGTTTAAAGGCACATTTCTTTTAATGTTTTAAAATCTTTTTATCCCAGTGTCATATTTATTGTACAGTTACTTGAATGTCTCTTTCAACTCTTTACCTGCATTCAACACTGCTTGCAGTGCTGACTAATAAAGCATTTAGGTAAAACAGAACAAAATAAAACAGCATATCAGTTTTTAATCTACCTTGATGCAGACCAACAGTTCTTGAATTAGGAATAATTTGTCTCTATCATGCAGCTCAAATTTGCAACATAACTGGAGCGGACCACCCACTATCAAAAATCATGTTTTTGTTTTTTGCAAGTTTTAGTATTTAAATAAATCTTGCAAATGCACATCATTGACATGTGAGCACAATGAACAGGTGCAGGGAATAATGAAGGCAGTAAAAGCCATACTAAAAGATTATATGTCACGTAGACTAGAGCATTGTCTGTTACTGCATTACTGTACATCAGCTGTCCAGGCAGGCTCTATAATCACGGATGCTAATTTGCATATCTACGACATAGCTCTTGTTTATTTTTATTGAAGCCATTCTCTCATGAGCTTTATCCTGCTCAAACGTATTGATTATTTGCTTATTGGCTCTAAGTCCATTAAGAAGCCTCATCTTTGGCTTAAGGGGTTGACATTTCATTAAGCTAAGCGGATAATTTATTGGCTAGCGCTCCTTTAGATTTTTCCATCTTCTGTGCAGGATGTGTTTGGCGTGTGGAAGCTATAATATTAACATATGGCGGTGCTTTGTGCTTGTTTGAATTCAGGCACGGATGAAGATGCCATCCTGATGCTGCTGACAGCGCGCAATAATGATCAGCGCCAGCAAATTAAGACGGCCTACAAAAAGGCATATGGAAAGGTAAGGACATCTCCCTGGAGTGTCGAGTAATTGTCATGATTAAACCAAGCATGTCTGCCTCTGAGTAGTTCGTACTATTTACCTAATGTCTCACTACTCTCTCTCTCTCTCTCCATTTCAGACTACTATCCTGTCTAAAAACATTTAGACAAGACAATACAAAAAATAACACCAGCTAGGATCTAATTAACGTATAAATGTCTATTGTAAAACATATTGGAGCATGCTAAACACCAAAACTTTGGAGTAGTTCATGACTGAGGACAGGTTAAAGGTTGTTTGACATGTCAAGTATGATATATTTTATTTATAGAGTGATATCAGTCTGGTTCCCACTCCCTCTGCCACGCCCTCAGCCAGAATCAAACATGTTTGCCCAATCAGATTTGTTTATTTCATAGATACATGTGAAACGAAGGAGCTCATTGGTCACCCATCACTTTGAACAAAATCACATCAATATGAACAGACCATACCTGTCCCTGATTGGCTAATCCACCTGTCAATCACATCCATCTAAGAGAGATCAGGGAGATAAACAGGGGAAACTCTGAAACTCATTCTGGTTTCTGATGGAAAATTGTGTCTCTTGCTACCGAAAACAAAAATGGTAAATATATTGAAATCTTATTATTTTTGATATTTTAAAATTGTGAATAAAATATAGCAATTTACATAGAAAGGTAATGAATTAATTGATAGCACTTCAAAAAAACGTATGCCCATCATTAAAGCCAGCTATCCTGAGTTGAGGTTGGCATCTAATTACATAAAATACACAGTAAACTGAGAAGTCCTGGTCTGAGTGGGATTACTCAGAGCTCATATTTCAAACCCTGATTGGTTCAACCTGCGTTTTGAATCAGAACTTTGTATAATGTAAACATGTCATCGCATTCAGTAATTCTAATTTTCTCTGAATGAATATTTGTGTGCACAGTGAGCTTCTTTCCTTCCCCTGCCATTCATCTGCTCTGTCAGGTTATTTTATGACCACCTGTGGATTGAAAGCACCAAGTTAATTTGCTTTCTGCTGAGGTTATTGAAAAGCGCTGGACCAAACGTAATTGTCACCAGAAGAATAAATGATGAGGTGGCATGAGAGGAGAAAGGACATCAGAGAATCACAAAGTGCCTCCTGAAATATCTTTGAATAATACAGGGCTTCGAGGAAAAAGGTAGACACTATTTTTATCGTATGCGATATATATTTATGTTCTTTCATACCAGGATCCATTTTTAAAAGTAGTACAGAAGATATGATAAAAATACAAATACCAATGTAGTATTTTAATGAATTAAATAAAAAAGAGTTGTACTGAAATGCTCTCTGAGTGGGCTTGCATCTCCACAAACCTGACTCTTACTTTTCTCCTGCTTGTTTTTATGGAAATATTGTTCCTTTGACTATAATCTTCCACAGTATGGCATAAAACATATCTCCTTGGACCATGTTCTGTAAGACTTTTATTATAACTTTCCATTTGCTACTTCCAGAAAGTTACATACTGTACCTTTAAAAAAAAAAAAAAAAAACCTTCATTAGTTTAAATTCTTGGTTTTGGAGTTGGTGGATTGATGAGTCATACAAAACATAAAGCTACTGCAGTGCATTTTATTATTTCTTATAAGCACATCTTAAACAGTGGAAATTATGTATTCTTCTGAAGTACATAATAGCTAGAAATGTGAATGTCAATGTTGTGCCCACACCGTTTGCTTCTTAGTGACTTCTCACTTCAAGATCAATATAAACACGCTACAGTGGCTTATTCATTTTGCTCTTTCCTTGCAAGGTGCTATAGCTGATTTTTACTGTTTTAAAAAAACACAACTTGTTAATTTTAAGCAGTTTGTTGTCATTACCCCCTTACCTTAAGTATTCCAAGCATCCTAATTGTTCACCTCAATATGTTTAGAAGCACTTGATCATAACTCTCACAGACCAATGCAGTTTTATCATGATGGTAATGCTAGAATGCTAGCACGCACTTCCTGATCATCAGTCAATAAATGTGCAAAAAATACAGTGGACATATTTAGACTTCAAAAGCTGCTTATACAATTTAGCTGTACTGGGTCAAGACCAGCTTTGCTCAAATTGCGGTAGAGGACCTTTAAACCAGTGCTTTATACTAATGGGGTGTACTGTCATTTACCATGTGACTACAGGACCTGGTGAGTGCCCTCAAATCTGAACTGGGCGGACTCTTCGAGGATCTTATAGTGGCTCTGATGACCCCACCCACTCTCTACGATGCTACTCTGCTGCACAAGGCCCTTAAGGTAAAAACAAAAAATGTGTTTTTGAGAAATGTTTGGTGACAGCTCCAACAATGTAAATTCAGATGTTTTCAGAACAGACAAATATTATGAACTGTAAACGCCCTTTCCAATTGTGTCTCTCAGACTATTCATGCAAGAGCAAACACAATAATTCATTTGATTCACAAAGTCTAATTGTACCAATGTGTTTTGGGCTGTTGTTGTCACAGCTTTTGACAGTGGTTACAAAAACCTTTGGCTGGAAATCTCGTAAATGTTTAGTGGAAATTAGATTTTTTTTCTTGGTACAAGATTGACTGTAGCTCCAAAATCAAATTTGAAAGAACACAATTAGCATTTTTTGAAAGACCACAATTTCCACTACAAACTACAAAATATCCTGTCTTATTTTGCTAAACCAAGTACTTTAGATCTGTACAAACTTTCAGAAATGTACTTTTTTTAGTTCATATTTCAGTCCTTTTGTCAGTTCTCATGGATGCATTTTAAATGTGAACTTTGCTCAGAATCCTATTATTAAAACATAAATCACAAGTCTAATTGTGCTCAATTTAATACAGTATATGTCCAAATCGTTAGCCCTATCTTATAAGGAAATATCTGAAGCACTGCTCACATTCATGTTTTCCATATGAAAATAGTGAATGATTGTCTGAGCTCACCAGTTTGTATATTGTGAATATTGTGAATCTCTGGCATTTTGTAATTACTTAAGTTGAATAAAATAAACTTGTATGCAGAGTCGTGTGACATTCTTCAATATATTGTGTATTACTTCTTTCTTATAAAGAAAAGAATATGAACATGGAGGGAGATTGCTGTGAGACCACATGATTCACCTGGATATTGTGTTTGTTTTCTCAGGGCGCTGGGACTAATGACGATGTGCTGATCGAAATCCTGGCCTCCAGAACTGCAGACGAAATCAAAGATATAATCAAAGTGTACAAGAAAGGTGACGTAGTGGAATGAGAAAAAACGATAAATAGTAGTTTGTGCCTTTCTGTGGGCTGTTTGCTGAAAGGCTGACTCATAGGCCTGCCATGATAACAAATTTTGAAATGCAATATATTGCTGAAGAAAATATAGACACAATAAACGATAATATTGAAACTAATTTACACCAACACAACAACCCTAACAAAGGATTATCCTTTTATATTACTATCCTAAATGTACAATTTTGTTTCAGTGTCCTGCATTATGCCAAATAGACTCCTGTTAGCTCTTAGCCACATCAGAATGTTGTTACCTCATCAAAACATATCTGGAGTTGTGTTTTGTTTCATTCACACATTTGAGAAATCCTGTATTATGAGTCTGTCTACATGTCAAAAGCTCAAAACACTCTATTCCACCTTGTGATGTCATTCAGTGATAGTTTAAAGTTAACAGCTGTTTGTAGCCTAGACTGAACTGGAATAAACTAGAATAACCTTAAATGATTGCCTTTTCAAAAAATATGTTTGCTTTACCGTTTATTCAGTTGAGATTGCCATAGAAAGTCTTAAATATGTATTAGGGCTGGCCCTCCCGCGACAAATAGTCTGTAGATACATTATTTATTTAAAATGTTGTTATTATTTCTTATTATGCTTGTTCTGGATTCAGTGTTTAAGCAAAACTATTATTAAGCATTTATTTTAATAAGACCAGGTATAACATTACATATCATGAAAAAAGAGAAAACATGCATATGTTGTTGACATTTTTCAATAAATATTTAGTTTGGCCCATGATTTAGTCCCAGTTTTTAATTTTGGCCCTCTGTGAATTTGAGTTTGACTCCCGTGGTCTACAGTATCTCCTGGTGCACCGAGAAGCACAGACATTTCAACAAGGCTAAAAGATGCATATCCAGTGCTGAAATTATACAGTGATTCTAGTGAAGGTGTAGAGTTGAAAAACAGAGTGGAGCGCTTCCTGTATTACCACATGTTGACAATGCAAGGTGAAACAGAGTGTTTTCAGTTTTAGAGAAGAAGACCACATAAGTATGCAGGATTTGTGTGTCAAATATTTGTGAATCAATGAAACAAAACACAACTCCAGGTATATTTTTCATGAGGATACAACATTATGACAAAGATTTTAAAAAAAAATAAGCAAGCATGATATAGGCCATTTATTCTAGTATCTGTAGATTGTATTTATAATGAGACATAGAAGTGACATTGTTCCATCTATTCCTTACAGAACAATAATTCAATATTGTAATTCGCAGTCATGTAGAATTATTGAGCCCCATTTCTGCAGGTATGATACAGTATGCTATGTGGACATGATAGACTTGGAAGCATATTTCTGCTGCAGCATTGGCCTTTTTTACATGCACGGGCCACAGCACAGTCTTCTCGGATTTCTAGTCTGGTGTACATTTTCCAGAGGGTTGTGGCTTTCAATGATGTCAGGGGATCGCCTTCAGAATATTCTAGTGGTCTGCCACAGATGTGACACGGAGTTCCTAAAGCATGGATCCAGTGGGTTGTTGTGGCATGTACTGATACTTTACAGTGGCATTCAGCTGGCGGGTTCTACATGTTTGTCTACAGCGGAATGGTCAGCAGTTACCATAGTGACACAAAGCACATATTAGCAAACACTGTGCAAATGTTTCTAGATTCTCTGCTCAGATTAAAGTCTAACTTGAGTAACAGCTCTTCAGGCAGAGCAGTGCCTACAGTTAGCAGGGATTGTTAATGACATCAGCTGTAAAGTATCAGCTGTATGAGTCTTCAGTTAAATAGCACTTTAAAGATGCACTACTGTGATTGAGGATTCGGTACCTGCTTGTCTCCATGGAGAAGTAATGACCGGAATGTTCCACATTAAACATATTTATCGGCATACAGAAAGGCAGGCACACGCAGGGTATATGTTATAAAGCAATGGAGAGGTGACCTTGCTCCCAGTAAGAATGTATGTTTTTCAAAGTGACTGATAAATTTAATGCCATACTATGGAACATTCCAGCCCAAGTATTAATATCTTCATGTACACAAGCAGGTTATGGCAGATTACACAGTGCAACATTAAAACAATAATACGCTGACATTTTGAGCCTTCACTATACATTATTACAGTTACTTATTGCTTTAGTATGATTGTAAATCTAACAAGCTTTGAGGTAAATAAGAAACAAAGAGCATATGTTATTTATTGACAACTCTAATTTGTTAATATCTCAAAGATTGTGATCAACTGATAATAGTTGTTTAAAATGAACAGAAAGCAATGGCCAATAAGGTCTGATGATATGTATTTTGGAAATTTCCCCTAAATTATATAATTTGTATTCAGTTCAAATTCTTGACCTTGTTTTACCACAAACTGGATAAGACAGCATTGTAGTCTGCAGTACCCTCTTTGGACTTAAGTGATCAAATAAAGCTTTATGCCTAAATACGCAAAAATAATATTCTTTGTGCATATTTAAGCATTTGACTGATCCAAACAAAATATCATTTTATGTTGGAGATTTAATCCTAACAGCTGATATGTCAGAAAGTGCAGATACTGACCTAATAAATACTAGCCAACCGGATATTTTGTTTTAATATGATTTTCCTTATCATGTGGAAATAGCTTTATTGTGCTATGTATACATATTACACCTTTGTCTCATGTGACCCATGGCATAAATGTTATTGCAGGAATCTTTCTAACATGTCAACCCTAAATTGAACCACTCCACAATGAAGGACTGAGGGCAAAGTAGGACATTTATTTGATCTCCTCCAAAGAGAAAGGCCATGTTGTCCTTTAACCCACTAATCAAATCTCCCCTGCCAAAGACCTTACAGCTAAAACAATACACATCTATTAGCTCTCTCTATACGTAATGAGCGGCAAGTGTAAACACCACGTGACTCTCCTCTCTTCTTTCTGTCCCTCCAGAGTTCAGCAACAAACTGGAGAAAGATATATGCGGTGACACGTCGGGACACTACCAGAAGCTCCTGGTGATCCTGCTGCAGGTAGACAGGGGATTTATGTTTCCCTTTCCTGATAATGAGAGCCCAGGTGAATCCATTACAAAGTCATGAGAGGTTCAGGTGTTTGCTGGGGCCAGGGACGCTACAATGCTTCTTCACATAGTCCACATAGAAATATAATCACACTGATGTATTCTTCTGGGGTGAAAGAGTTAAGCAGTCTCGGAGTTCACAGTTTCCATCCACACTAACCTACTTTTGCTCTGTTTGTCCTCCTGTCTGTCTGCCTGCCTCACCGCCTGACACCTCATTTGTGTGGGAGTGTAGGCGAGCAGGGAGGAAGATGTGGATGAAGGAAAAATTGAGAAAGATGCTAAGGTAAGTCAAAATGGTACAGCTTGATGCACCTCCACAAAGAGAATTATGTACAGTATCTAACATAGAAGTCTTATTTACTTTCTATTTACGAAATTCAATAACAAATAATACTCATTTTGCAGTCATATTTACACTTTAACCTTTAGTTTGATCATAAAAAATACAATAATTCTTGTTATTGTATATAAACGAACTGAATAGGTCCTGCCTTTGTCTTGTGAAGAAAAGAGAATTGTTCTTAGAACTGAAATTCCAGCAGGTTAAGGTATAATTGGTGTGCTGTTTTCAGTGGTATCGTCACACCTAGGTCAAGTGAAAGATCAAGTCAATCAAATGCTACAGTGAAGGTGAGTCGTGCAATCCACAATAGGGGTAGAATGGCCCATAATGAGTCTAGCATGTAAACAAGGGCAGTTTCAGGTTAAAACTCTTCCCTTTGGGGTAGTGTAAATCCTAGTGTCTCAGACCTATACCATCAAACTGAAATGGACAGGTGTCAAAACGTGTTGATTTCAAAAACTTTCACTTCAAAAGAGGGATTAACTAACTGGATTTAGTGATTAACAAATTGATTTAAATGAAGGTTCTTTGTGACACAGCCCTCACCCATTATCTGTGTTTGGGATTTTGTTTGGCTGCAATTGGTGGGCTGCAGGCCACTTCACTATTACTTAAATTATAAATCAGCACCTCCAAATCTTCAATGAGTGCTGTTTTTCTGAAAAAGAACAGAAGGTGGAGAAAAGACTTCCCATGTGGAGCAGATCCAAACACCTTACTTGTAGAGTGGCAGTAAGCAATGCTAGTGGCCTGTGTGTGTCAAGAACAACTAGTGATGGTAAAAAATAATCACAGATACAATTTATATATAGTGTTTTGTAAATGTCATATGCACTTACCAACTCCATTAGTCAGTCACTCCTCAGACATCCTGTGGTGGTAAGATGCTTCAAAAGCCACAGCTGCCCACAGTTAGAAAAACACACTGAAGCAGGCAAGGTTAGAGGATTAATGGCTCCAGCAACTAAGCTACTGCCACTAACTGATTAAAACCTAATTCTCTCTGCTTTATATTTTAAAGTATGGTCAACTAAACCATAGTAATTTATCGACTTCTTGTTCCCTGTTTTGCAGCATCCACACTGTTTTAATGGAATAAGAGAGACCTAAACCTAGCTCACTGATCAATAAGGATTACATCAGATAATCTACTATCACCAAATGTCAATAATGTTGCAATTGTAAAATTTGTTTTTACTTAAATTAAGAAAAAGGTCATAAAAATCAATAGAAAGGTTTGACGAATGAACCCCCACAAATCATCCTCCATGTAATCTAATAATAAATAAATAAGGCAATATTTTGTCAATTCGAAATCAGTGGAATTCTCACTTTTGTGATTTTTCTTTGGCATTGTAGACACAAAAGTGAGAAAAACAAAAGTTCCTTTGCTTTGCTTGGGCTCTGTACAAGCTCTTACATCAGCACTGTCATTGCTCCCAATAAGCCCTGTGCGCTAGTGTATGTGCACAGCTGCTGCACTGTCTCTCTGCCATTATAGGACTTGTACGCTGCCGGTGAGGGGAAGTTTGGCACAGATGAGGAAAAATTCATCAACATCCTTGGAAACCGCAGCCCCGAGCATCTGCTAAAAGGTAACTTGTCTACTGCCACGATTTAGTTTATAATTCCACCTCACACGGACGGGCTAATCCATGTATTATTTAGCAGAACAGCTTAGTTTCAAATACCAAGAACTGCCAAGCAAGGAGTGGGAAGTCATTTGGTGACTGCTGGCAGAGTGATGGGATCAACATGTTGCACCTGCTCGTTGCATTTCCTGGGGGTAGAAAACGCAGCTTGATCTTAATGGCCGCCAATCTGGAAGGTCTGGGTATATACTGTGGTTGTCATGTCGATGGATGGTATTGATTTTGGACATGAGATCAAACCCATGGCATTCTGAAAGCATAGTGTTCAGAGTGCACACCTGCTTCCATGGGACTCACGTGTCAGACATGTTACGTACATTAATACAGGTTGTTATGGGTACAGTTCACAAGGGCCATAACCTGGTTGGGCACACATGTTTATAGGTGATAGAAAGAGTCTAAAAGTACAAACCAACACTGATTGTTGAAGTCACTCATTCTGATCCAGTGCTGTGACATTGTTGGAAGACTTTATGTGACAGACGTGCATAAACGCTTATGGTGCAATTACCCACTGTGATAGAATAGCATTGTTTTTTTCTTATTTAAATGGGAACCAAATGAAAGCAGCGTTGAACCATTATCTCTGCGATCATAACATTTTTGTGACAAAAGAACGAGCCTTTTAGCAGCGAGCTCTGTTATGTCACCTTGTTGTCATTATGTTTGTTTGTGCGTGTATTTCTCTAGTCTTTGCCGCCTACAAGAAGATTGCCGGCTGTGATATTGAGGAGAGCATCGAAGGCGAGACCACAGGGAATTTGGAGAATTTGCTTCTTGCTGTTGGTAAGACTTTCTATTTAAGACAGTAATTTCCAAGACAAAAACACTATTATCTCACACTGTACAAGCTCTAGATATCAGTTCAGCATTATAGTATATGTTTAGAGCCAAATCTCTCTTGGTAATCAATCATCTTTTAACTGGTTCCCTTACAGTGAAATGCATCAAAAGTACTCCAGCCTTTTTTGCTGAAGTCCTGTATCACTCAATGAGGGTAAGTGTTTGCCTCTTAAAGTATAAGAAAATGTGTGTGTGCAATTTTATTACAACTAAAAATGACATTTCTCTCTAATTTGAAAAAATGTTTAAAGAATTTCAAAAGTTTCCAAAATAAATATAAGAAAAATCTAATAGAATTACATAGCAAATTTCACCCCAAAGATTTACACAACAGAGTGATATATCTGTGACCACTAGGAAATTTTAAAGATTTTACGACGTGACAAATTACTCCCAATCAGTCTGTGGGATAATTGGTCTATGTTTCAACATAGTCGTCAATAAAAAAGCAATTGGGTGCGACCAGAGCTGAAGACTGAAGTGTGTATGGCCCATTACCTTTAAAATTGACTTTTTAACATTTATTTCTAGCGTGCAGGAACTGATGATGACACCTTAATGCGGGTAATGGTGTCCAGAAGCGAAGTGGACATGCTGGACATCCGGGCAGCATTCAAGAAGAAGTACGGAGCATCCCTGTACACCACTATTCAGGTGTAGTACATTTATAGTAATGGAAATACTGCATTAGACAGGTTGGACTACTCATTTTACTAAAATATTGTGAACATAAATTATATTTAATATTTTACTACCTATTACCTATGTTTACATAAGATTTTTTTGATTGTAATATTACATTCTGGCTTTGCACATAATGTAAAATCAAAGTTTAATCCATCTGAAAAAATTAGCTTTTTGTAATTTTCAGTATTGAGGACGAAGGTAGAGGTATTCCATTTTAGAAGTCACTGCTACTTTCTGCATTTTTTGTACTTTTCGTCTCTATTTTTATCCACAAACTGCCACTTACAAAATTTTTACCACAGGCACTATCTTAACAAACCAGGTAATAATTAGAAAAAAAACATAAAACCTGTCATATACAATTTAAGATGTCAAATGTGCTAATGGGATCCTCGCAGCGACCAGTGATCTTTTGCACTCCAAATCTCCCAATAATCCAGTCACTCTCACCATCCGGGCGTGCTATGTTGAGCCTGCTTATGCGCTATTCATGGAAGTGCAGCACAGGAGTGGAGAATAATGATTTTCTTTAAATGCCTTGTTTATCGTAATGAGGCTGCTTTTCATAGGGTCCCATGTGTCTATTCTTCTGAGGCCAGATGTTCCTACAGTGCAGAAATACATTACCAGCCTTCAATAGCATTTCCCAATGGCCACAACAGATAAACAAGATAGAAAGTTAGAAAGGACACATAGGAGTAAATGGACTCGGTGTGGAAGTTAAACACAGTGATAGTTTATGGACAGTAACTGCGCCTACTGTCCTGAAATAAATATTTGCAAAGTTGAAAATAAAAATATATGACAGTAGTTGGTGAAAGGACAAAAAAAGATGCGACGGCGCTGTTAATGGTGTCTCATGACTGGCACCCAAGAATATATTTTATATATTGGAACATTGTGTTGCATAATGTGTTTTTCTTTTAGTACTGTAGGGAAGGATATTAGGAATTAAACTCTATCACTGTCCAAAAATAAGTTTTGTTAAATTCGTCATAAAATTCATTTGTAAGCATGTATATTGTATTAATATAAAGTAGTATAAAGTAGTACTTCTACATCTACAGTACTTCACAGCAAGCAGATGTCTAACAAACTGAGAGCCTTGAGGCCCTTTGCAGTTAGGACCTTCAACAGGTCCTAAGTGAGGTCCCTGAGGCCCAGAAACAGGAGGAGAACCAGGCCTCCCAGGAAGGTTTGCTGAAGCAAATCTGCAATCTGTCTCTGTCAGAGAGCTCCAGGACAAACTGGACCTACTGCAGAGAGAAAAGCAGGAGCTAGAAAGGCTCAGGCCAAACTAGATGTGGTGTAATTAGCCCCAACAAAGCCAGTAAATATTCGGTTTGAACCCTCCTTAAATAAAAAATAAAAAGTCTTATATAGTGTCTTCTATTGTGGTCAGACATGTTTTGGTAGCTAACTACTCTTACTTAACATGGAAATTGTGTGATTTGTACCATGTAGCATTAAGCCTACATAGCTGTCATTGATCCCATACATAAAACACACACGATAAGCCTCTCTAATATTCTCTACCTGGCACTCAAATCAGACATACTGTGGGTTATTTGCTTATAAACACAGTTTAATCCCACAGTAGTGTTTCCCTAATGTATGTAAATTATCATGCTGATTTTCTGTCATAATTGCACACACTGTATGTCAACACGCCGTAAAAAAAAAAAACATGTTTTGTGTTTACTGTTGCTTCTAGCTACTTTTGATGAATTCTACTTCACAATATGTTTTAATAATTAAACACCACATTATCTTTGACCCCGTACTTTTTAAATTATCAATCATGAGTTAGCCCATGGACGTGACAGTTTGCAACAAGAGACTTTTTTTTTTTTTCCATTTTTATTAATTTATTTTGAAACCAATTTGTGTGGACATTCTTTCGTATTTGCAGGAGGACACAGCGGGCGACTACCAGAAGGCTCTGCTGTACCTGTGCGGGGGCCAGGATTAATGGGCAGCTCTGAGCGATGACCCACCCGCAAACTGCTCCCAGACAAAGCTACTCCCAGATGAGGTTATCGATTTACAGTTGTTGATTCTTTATGACTTTAGCATGCTATCGATTGAATTAGTGTGAATTACCGTGGCTTGTCATTTTTGACTTATGGCGTTATCTTAGCTCAGAACCACGGCCCATAAGAGAAACCTATGTATTGATTAAACTGGTACCACTACTTGAATTTTAAGTGTTCATACTGTATTTAATGGAAGCCCAAATCCATAAAACGTTGGCTTGGAAGGTGTTGTTAAAAGGTGCATTAGTAACTTTTCTGTCTCCATGGATATGTTATTGCTAGAGCTTTCTATAGTATGTCATTAAACTTATCTTTCTCCATGGAGACAAGCCAAGTAACAGATAAGATCTATGGAGAGGCAAGTCCACTCAGAGTAAGACCATAACGTTTCCGAGCTATTTTTAGCTATAACATCACCTGTAATTGAATAAAAGAAATAAGTTAAATAAGTTTAATGCCATACTGTGAAATATTCTAGGCAAAGCAGTACATCTCCATGGAGACAAGGAGATGTTGGACCTCCACCAAAATGTTGCATAGTGCACCTTTAAATGTTAACAAAAAAGAATGACTTAAAAATGTTGTGTAAATCTAAAAAAAACAAAAAATATATTCATTTAAAATTGAAAGTGTCAGAAGCTTAGAAAAATACAATATTCATTTTAATCAACATAATAATACAAACATTCAAAATTGTCATGTTGAGAAATCAAGTCATTCTATTTTTTTAGAATTATGCCACAACCTTTTAGAATTGGGCTAATCCTCACTCTCATGTACGCTATGTGAAAAGTTGTTTACTTGTTTGCTCACTGTTTCTTGAGTTAAATGCAGCTTACAAAATACAATCCTCCCGATGAATAATTAAAAAGAGACATGCTACCACGACTCACACTCTCATTAATTCCCAATGACCAAAGCGCGTGGACATGTTGCGAAACATCTGTCAGTGATCAATAAGTAATGGGATACTAATAGACATTTGTTGACTATATAAAGACATCCCTTCAATGTCTCTCAATGTAAGAAGCGCTGGCCCTTAAATCGATAGACTGACGTGGAGGTTATTTAGAAGACGGTGCCCAGAAGGTGGCAGCAGATCTCACTACGAAGCCTTATGGGTAATTATATAGAGAGAAAAACTGCAAAAAAAAAAAACTTGTCTTTTGGATTAATTTGTTACTCAGGGGTGTACAATCCAAATATTTTAATAGGAAATGTAAACAAAAATGTATTAAATAACGAAATTGTCACGTAGAAGTATCATCTCCAAGTATTATTCTAGTAAGTATTAGTAGTGTAAGTATATCTTTAGTATAAAATTAGTTGGAAAAGTAAATGTGTAGTATTGTCCCTTCATTTAAAGTCCAAAGTTTTGTTTTCTATGTCAATGTAGAAGTGAGAACATAGTCAATAAACAATAAAACAATTAATATTACAATTTGTTTTGAAGATTTGCATAATATAAACAATAAAAATACTACCAAAAAGAGCTGATTAAAAAAAGGGTATATATTTCTACAATCTGTCATTTCACATGTCTACATAACATTTAAAGACGTAGCACATTTCTTTATTGTTATCAGGATACACAAAAAATAGCTACATTAATGTTTGCCAATACCTGCACCCCTATTAATTCTATTTGAGTTACGTCTACTGTAATATGCTGCCTTCCATTTCACTGTATTACATAGACTTAAAGTGGATTTGTAAGGTATACGAGCCTAAGGTATTTGTAAAGAAGCAGCAGACAGACATATGACCCCAGGGTTGAATCGTCTAGCTGTTGTTTGTGGACCTATGGGTGCTGTGTGGGTGCTGGGAGATCAAATAGCTACTGGTGCTGGAGGCTTCCATCTCCCGTGATCCTCTTGGGCTTCTACTCCGATGCTCTGTGAAGCATTTCAAGGTTCCAGTATGATGCACAGTACAACTTTTTCTAAAACTCAAAGCATACACAACAGAATGTAGCGTTGTTAGTAATGTCATCGTGTTGGAATGTTTAAAGAGAACGTGTGATGTTTTTGTGGGGTATTTAGTATGGAACTACAACCTTTATAGATCGTGATTTAACATTTTGTTCATTGTAAATCACAATATTGGTCTAAAACAGCTTAATAATTTATGGTGAGATTTTAGAATGTAATGTGTCATACTCCAAGATGGGGAGCAAGAGCCAGTTTCCCCTATTAATTAACTGTATTTTGCCATAAAATATCCAAAAGGCAAAAGCGAGACTGCAGATACAAGCGGCCGAAATGAGTTTCCTCTGCAGAATGGATGGGCGCTCCCTTAGAGATAGGATGAGGAGCTGTCAGTAGTAGAGTAGAGCCACTGCTCCTCCACATCAAGAGGAGTCAGCTGAGGTGGCTCAGGCATCTGTCCCGGATGCCTCCCTTGGCCCCTCCCTTGGGAGGTGTTCCGGGCACATCCCACCGGAACGAGGCCCCAGGGAAGACCCAGGACACGCTGGAGGGACAATGTCTATCGGCTGGCCTGGGAACACTTTGAGGTCCTGCAGGAGGAAGTGTCTGGGGTGAAGGAAGTGTGGGAGTCCCTGCTTAGACTGCTGATCCCGGACAAGCAGAAGAAAATGGATGGACTCTGCATTTTAACAATATTAATTTTAGCTATCCCCCTTCTGTATCTAAATATTTTTGGCCTGTGGAATGTTGTGACGTAATTTGAAACCCAGCTATAAAAACAGGTGAATTGACTTCCTGACTGACAGGCCCCACCTCTTCATATTGATATTTTACCATAACAAGAGGCACATTTTTATTATTTAATTTAATTGGCAGTTTAATTTAATTGTACATGTATGACCTGGAGTTAGTTTTTTTTTTGGAATAATTCTAAATAAATATAGTGAAGTGGGTGGGGACAGGGGGTAGGTAAAAACAGACATTTCCTACGCACTCCAAGCTTCAATGTAGGACAATATGGGATTTTGAGTAGGCTATTGATATTGGAAAAGTATAACAACATGATTGAACATGAAGTTCATAAAGTTAATTGTACCTAATATGTCCCCTTTAAACATCAATTTCTTTTCAGAGTATCACAGATAAAACTGTATGGTGTTATTTGGTTATTCTTGCATATTTATTTAAATACAAGTTTTTATGCGACACCTGCTAAGAGTTATAGGTGAATATTTTTGCAAGCACTGACATGCATTCTTGATGGCTCACTAGCTTCCCCCTCCAACCCATTTCACCTCAGCTCATGTCAAACATTGATTAAGGGATGCACAATTGCATTTTTGTCTGTCTCAAGCTATTAATCTTACATTCATTTCTATAAAAGCCTGTTCACACTTAGTTCCAAGTAAATTGCCAGGTACAAAATGCCAAGACATTTAGCAATACCACACATGCGCACCAGCCACAGAACATTGCAGGGTCTGCTCTGGTCACATGTAACCTGTTATGTTTTATTATTTATTCACACATAAACCTTCCCTGCATATTCCAAGTATTTTAGTTGGGAAATTGCCTGATAAAAATGCAGGAAATTAGAAATTAGTTCTGTTTAATTCTGGCTTTGTTCACACATGACCCTAATCTGGCAAAAATGATAGGTACATTTCCAGGTCACGTTTCATGTCTGATTGATGTTATAATGTTGTTTCCTCGTCAAAAACATCCTCGTCGTTGTGTTTTGTTTCATTCAGACATGTTTAACACACAAATTCTGAATATTTAAGCTGAGTTCCTCTCATACAGAAAATAGTAATACAGGAAGTGTCCCACTGTGTTTTTAAAGTCCATAGACTTTCATTAGAATCACTGTTATCATTTGCAGCCATGGATTTGCCAATCTTTACTGAATTTATGGTAAAAGGTGTTAACTTGAAAACTACCACATGGGCGGTGTAGACACATGTGCGAGTAAAACACAACACAACTCCATGTCCTGTTTTTGATGAGGTAACAACATTACAACGTTGCTTAAAGCTCACAAGAGACAATTTTGTGTAATTTATGTATGCAATATTAATTCATTCATCCTAGAAGATACTCCATTCATAATGTGGTTGGATTGTTATCTAAGAAGAAACGACAAAAGCAAACATTTTCTCGCAAGTCACCTAAATATAAATCTCAATCTATTGTCTAGCCAGTAGCCACAAGGGGTAAAGAAACAATGATTGCCAGTTATTTGTTGAATGATTGTATATTTTAAAGTTTGCTAACTATTTTCAGTAAACAGTGAGAGTGGCAGATGTAAATTTGTCTTTTGCGAGAACTAAACTTTTCAGTTTTTTGTTAATTTTGGGGGCAATGAACTTCAGAACTGTTCATCTACTATCCAATTTAAGTATAAATGTAAGAAAAAAATCTTAATTTAACCAGAATACACACAAGCCCATCTATGTTTATTTTATTATGAAGAGAATGAGATGAGGTCAGGATTAAATAAGACTCCTTATGCTACTTCTGTTCTTAACATGGAATCTGTGTGTTCTGTTATGTTATGATGCTTTTTGTTTACCCTTTATACGTTTCCATACTAAAGAACAAATCCAATTTAATGAAGAAAAAAAACCAAAAACATTAAATGATAACATATTTACCCCTGCACTAATGGGTTAATGGCCCATATGATACGTTGTTTTGTTTTTTCTTGTAGAGCACTGTACAAAAGAAACGCCATGGAACTAAAGATGATAGTTCCTTGGTGTTTTTAGTTTTTAATTGTATGTATTTATTTATTTATTTTTACAAATGAGTAATTATTTCTACGTTTTTTTCTTTCTTTTTTTCTTTTTTTAAATTAAAACAGTACTACAATATTTGTAATTTCAATATGATTGGACAAAAATTTTAAATAGAACCATCTATTTTACTTTTCTGTAACTACCAGTTGAATAACTTAAAGCACAACTTACACAAATGAGCTCAATGCAAATTTCTCCACAAGAAAGTTATTGGTTTGATTCTCATTGTTGGAAAAAGTCACAAAATCTCTAACTCAAACCATCTATA